AATAATATCTTCATAGTCAACATTACTGATGCTAGTTTCAATTCCAGAATTTAAAAAAAAAATGTAATTTCAGCTGTTGCCATGGTGGGATTTGAACCCATAACCCCAAAGCATTAACCCAGGCCTCTGGATTACTGAGTCACCAACTTGACCACTATGCCACCATCTTCACATTTTAATGGATTAACTGCCAGAAGGTCAGAAATCACATGATACCAGGTTATAATCCAACAGATTTATTTGAAAACACAAGCTTTCACAGCCTCAGTCCTTCTTCAGGTGTTAGTGAGAGAGGTGGTATCAGACACAGAACTTATAAATAAAAGATCAAAGGTTCACATCACTGATGAGGATGTATTGTGCAAATGTAAGATGCTATTGAACTTTTAATCAGTTTGAAGGTTTTAATTGATTAATATGTATATGTAAATCCCTGAATTCCTTTCTAGTCACGGTCCTGAGAGAACTAAAGGTTTTATCAGTGTAAAATAGAGATGACATTTTAGGTCAGGCAATGCATGTTAGGTATGACACCCTGTTTAGAATCTGTTTGTGTTTTGGTTTGGAGTCAGACTGGTTTTATTTCTAAAGTAGGAATTTATAAAATGCCATTGACTGACTGTCTATACATTGTGTGCTTTTTGAACAAAATAAAATGCACCTGCAAATACAAATTCACCCCATAGATTTACGTGTGTGTGTGTGTGTGTGTGTGTGTGTGTGTGTGTGTGTGTGTGTGTGTGTGTGTGGGAGAGAGTGCATGCAAGTGTGTGAGAGAGAGTGGGAGAGTGACTGTGTGGGACAGAGAGAGAGAGAGAGTGCATGTGTCTGTGCAGGAGAGTGAGTGAGTGAGTGAGTGAGTGAATGTGAGAGTGTGTTTGTGTATGTATGCGTGTGTGTCTGAGAGTGTATAGTGTGGTGGGGCCACCTGTAGTGCAACATGAATCCAAGATCCTGGTTGAGGCCGTCCTCATGGGGACCGAACTTGGTTATCAGCCTCTGTTCAGTGACTCTGCATTGTTGTGTATCCTGAATCCACCATGGAGGACGTTTACTCAAAGATCCGAGGTCGAATGTCCTTGACCGCTGAAGTGTTCCCCCACTGGGAGGGAACATCCCTGTCTGGCGATTGTTGTGTGGTGTCAATTCATCCATTGACGTAGCATCTGCATGGTCTCGCCAACGTACCATGCTTCAGGGAATCCTTGCTTGCAGTGTATGAGATAGACAACGTTGGCCGAGTCACGCAAGTATCTTCCGTGTACATGGTGGGTGGTGTTCCCACATGTGATGGTAGTGTCAAGACATGTCTTGCAGTCAATGTTGTCCTGAAGGCTGAATAATTTGCTGCGAACCATGGTCTGTTTAAGGTTTGGCGGCTGTTTGAAGGCAAGAACTGGAGGCCGAGGGAAGACCTTGGCAGAGGGCTCCTTGTCATCGACAATGTGTTGAAGGCTGTAATGAATGTGGCGTAGTTTCTCCGCTCCGGGGGAAGTCACCTCTTCTTTACACTGATAAAACCGTTAGCTCTCTCAGGACCATGACTGGAAAGGTATTTGTGGATTTACATATATATATATATTAATCAATTAAAACCTTCAAACTGATTAAAGGTTTAATAGCATCTTAGGTTTGTTTAAACATCCTCATCAGTGGTATGAACCTTTGACCTTTTACTTATAAATTCTGTGTCTGATGCCACCTCTCTCACTAACACCTGAAGGAGGACTGAGGCTGTGAAAGCTTGTGTTTTCAAATAAACCTGTTGGACTATAACCTGTTGTCATGTGACCTTGTCCACCCAAGTCCAACACCGGCACCTCCACATCATTAACTTCTAGAATGATTCCTAATAACAATATTCACCACTGTGCTACTGATAAAGTTAAGAATAGTCTGTATAAAAGTAACTATACCATTAATCTTGATAAATTGTTGATGCAGGGTCATCTGTTAGTGTGTTTCTTCAATGTTACTTTTTAAGTGAGACAAAGATATTGCAATTTAATTGTTTAAAAGGCATAGAATGTTCCACCACATTAGATCAAATGCTCTGCACCATTTCTTGTTTCATTGTAGTAATTAAACCTATTGATATGGGCAATGGAGTTCGAAAGAAAATATTTTCTTATTGAAGATATTCATGAAATAAAGACTTAGCTTTTTCCTTTTGTGAGCAGTTAAGGGAGCAGTGCAGAGAGCAGGGAGAAGTGGGGTGGGTAACTGGAGTGGAGAAAAAGTTAAAAGTTTTCTTAAATGCTTATGATTTTGAGGGCAAGGACAACCCTGAAATTCTGTCCCCGTTCTTGCTTGGAAAATTGCCTGGGTATGTCCTGTACACAATAAAGCAGGATAAATCCAAATCAGCTGATTAATGCCCCAGTATATTCTCGGCCATCAGTGAAGTGATGAAAGGAGTCATCAAGCAGTTCTGATGCCAGGGGCACACAACTCCCTTGACCTCATTACAGCCTTGATTCAAACATGGACAAAGAGCTGAATTCCAGAGGTGAGGTGAGGTGACAGTGACAGTCCTTCACATCGAGGCCATATTTGATCAAGTGCAGCATCAAAGAACCCAAGCAAAACAGGAATCAATGGGAATCGGGGAAAACTCTCTCTTGGTTAGAGTCATACCTGGCACAAAGGAAGATGGTTGTAGGTCAGTCATTTCAGCTTCAGGACAGATCTGCAGGAATCCTTCAGGGTAATGTTCTAGCCCAACCCACCTTCAGCTGCTTCATTTGCCTTATCTCTACCAGAGGGTCAGTTACAGGGATGATCACCGATGACTGGGCATCTGGATGGATATATGAATAGGAAGGGTTTGCAGAGATACGGGCCAAATGCAGACACAAATGGGACTAGGACAGATTGGGATGTCTGTTTGTTGTGGACGAGTTGGACTGAAGGGTCTGTTTTTGTGCTGTATGAATCTATGACTTCATGACAACATAATGTCCAACACCTCAGACACTGAAGCAGTCATTGTCCAAATGCAGCAAGATTCAAGTTTGGGCTGAGATTGGCAGTTAATAGTTATGCCACCCAAGTGCCAGGCGATGACCATCTCCAACAAGAGGGAATCTAACCCTCAACTCTTGACACTCAATCATGTTATCATCATTGAATTCCAACACAATCAACATCCGGGGGGTCACTATTGACTAGAAACTGAACTAGACCAGTCATATTAATATTGCAGCTGCAAGAGCAAGTCAAAGGCTAGGAATCTTGCAGCAAATAACTCACTTTTGACTCCCTGTCCACTATCTACAAGACACAAGTCAGGAGTGTGATGGAATATTCCCCACTTGCTTGGATGGGTGTAGTTTCAACAATACTCAAGAAGCTTGAAACCATCCAGGACAGAGCAGCTTGCTTGATTGGCACCACATCTACAAACATCCACACCGTCCTTATAGCAGCAGTGTGGATTATCTACAATTTGCATTGTAGAACTTCACCAAAGATCCTGAGAGCGCACATTCCAAACCCATGACCACTTCCATCCAGTAGGACAAGGGCAGCAGATACATGGGAACATGACCACCTGCAAGTTCCCCTCCAAGCCCTTCATCATCCTGACTTGGAAATATATTGCCGTTGGTCAGAGTTGCTGAGTCGGATTTCCTAGGACTGCGTAACAACATTATGGGTGTGGCTACATCAAATCAACTGCAGCAGTTTAAGGCGGCAACTCATCACCACTTTCTCGAGGGCAACTGGAGATCAGCAAAAAAATGCTGGTCCAGCCAACAACACCCACATTCCAGGAGAGAAAGTTTGTTATTTTCAAATACAGCAAATAGTTTGACTGCAATGGTACAATCACATATTAATGAGATGTGGTTACCAAAGTCAGAGCTGTTTTAGCAGAGTGAAAAATCAAACCTAGCAATCAGTGTTGATATTGGATCTTCCACCATGCAAAGACTCAGAAACCTGTTTAATGTATATGGCCATCTGCAATCATTTTGCGGTAAGTTTAAATCATGAAGCAATGAGCCACTTCAGGAATGATACAATAGAACAATGACTTTGAAGTATTTACCCTATGTATCAATGGAGGGTTCTCAGAGATAATGTGTCTTTGACATCATTCTAATGGGGGGGGAACGCATTGAGAAGATGGAATGAATGATGAACAGGAGCTGCTGGTACTACAGAGGCCCACAGGTAAATCACAGGCTGGTGGAGATGTGTAGGGGTGGGGAAAGCAGGCCATAGGATCTGCAGGGATTAGGAGGACTCCGAGAAATCACTTGCAATTTTCTTTTGCGGCAGGGATTCTAAAGGATTGATTTCCCAGACGACAGGTTGCAATAGGACAGTCTGCCTCAGGGTAAACTGAAGGGTCACGGGACCCGAAACGTTTACTGATTTTCCTTCACTGATGCTGCCAGACCTGCTGAGCTTTTCCAGCAATTTCTGTTTTCGTTCCTGATCTTATAGCAGGTACCTCAACCAAAATTGGACAATACACCCAGGGACTAATGTTTGCTTTGGTTGTACAAAAGTCAGAAATCACACAACACCAGGTTATAGTCCAACAGGTTTATTTGGAATCACAAGCTTTCAAAGCGCTGCTCCTTTATTGGGCACTTCCCCTGAAAAAGGAGCAGTGCTTCGAAAGCTTGTGATTTCAAATAAATCTGTTGGACTATAACCTGATGTTGTGTGATTTCTGACTTTGTCCACCCCAGTCCAACACCAGCAACTCCATATCCTTCAGGTGTGGGTAAAGGATATTCCATTTGTCCATTCCCAATCTGGTGACAGCACACTTCGTTTTGGAAATATTCACACGTGCTTCCGGCCTTTTAGTTTGGATGTCATTGCCTTATATTGAGGCCAAAGTTTTAAGCTGCTTTCCAAAGGCAAACAACAAGCCAGTGATTGTAACAATTCAGAAGATAAAACTATTTTATATAAAGACTAACTGCATTGAAATTGGACAGGGGCTGCTTCATATCATCTCAAAAGAATACAAAATGTGCTTATACTGTTGAAATTTTTATTTGTTTTTACAAGTTGGACATTACCTTAGTACCTAGTTCAATATACATTTACTAATTGCAACAAACAGGAAATGCTGCAGGGTTTTCATAACTTTTCTGTACATCAATATCATACTCATTGTTTGCTAGCTGGTTAAGTACAGAAGTAAGCATCCACGGTCAACCTTAGTGATCTAGGTAATGCAACAGCAATTGGTTTTAGCTAGCTGTTGTTGATATTTTAACTATCTCCAGTTCCTTAACACTAACCACTAGTAACGTACTTACGTTTCATAACAGTTTATGATACAAAAAAGTAAAATACAATATAAGCAGGAAACGGAAAACTACATATACGCATAGGATTTAACTAAAGTGCACAACCAATATTTCAAAGGAAAATTGCCTTCATACTTTCTCAACATCATTAAGGAACAATGCAATTTTTACATTGTTCTACATGCGCTGAGATTCATAACACAACTTTTACTTTGTACCCTGGCTTTTATATTATTTTGAAAGCAAAGAAACAAATACTGTTGTAGAATAGTTACGATATTGTGGACTGACAACTACTATTTTGGATCAAATTGATTTCCCAGGCAATCTTTCTTTAAGGATCTTTATTTCTCTGTCTCCAAATTTGTCCCCTTCACAACCACACGTTTGTGAATGAGCAAAGGTTATTATTATTTTCGGGTTAGCCAAATGTGATGCTTCTATTCATTCTGTAATGGGTTGAATTAAACAAATACTTGCAAAAGAGAACTTGTAACAGACATATCTGGGGTATTTTATATTTTAAGACATTAACAGATTGAAATGTACAAAAATGCAAAAACAAAAAATAGATAATGATGCATCACAGATTCAGTAATATTTCTATCAAAATATTGGCCAACATTGATTTGTGTGATAATTGTGGAACGTTTAAACAACTCCATAAATCTAGAGTAGCTTATTACCCTTTATTCCATAGCATCTAGAAAGACTTTTGCTTTCTGCTTTCAATTAAATATCAGGTATCCAGTAGCATTATAAATAGGCACACATATTACACCATTTAGATAACGTAAACCATTGCTTGGAAAATCAGGTTTCTGAATTTGGATGCTTGATCAATATATTTAAAACTTAAAATGTGTAAACAATGAAGGGTGCAATAAGGATTTTTTTGCCCACCGTAAAGTGATTATGAACTCAATATCGGTTCAATTTCCAGTCACAGCACCAATTATCCTTAAATTGGGAACATCAGGTTAAAAGTTTTCAGAACTGAAACCACAACAGACCTGCAACATTGAGAATTTGGAGGGTGGTGTGGTTTGAGGTTGAAGCTGCCCTCTTAGGGTGATGCCTGCACCATAGTCACAGCAACCTGCATGATGTCTGACTCCTGTGGTCACTAAACACTGTATTGCAAATACTGGGGGGGGGGGGGAATATTTCTAATTCTACTTCTATGGTCGTCCTCTTCAATCTTAACATACACAGTTACGAACAAATGAAATAATTGAGCAATTCCTGTATTGCAAAGTCGGAAGAAATTCCAATAAGGCGCATTTAAAAGGGAAAGAAGCTATGACTTCAAATACTGAAAAAAAAAAGTATTGTTCAACCTATAATTGTTTTCCTGTTGCCAAATGCCTTTATGATTTTCAGAGAATTTCGTATTTTGCCCTTCTGTGTGTTTTTGTGCTTTAAGTGAAATTTGGAACCTAAAATAGTGATTATTACCGGCATAAATTAAGTTTAAAATGACTGTGAAAAAGCTGTAAAGTTGACATGAAATATTTTTAGTGAATTACAACTCAACACTATATGGGTGCAGTGCTAAATGTATAGTTCAGCATAGTCAGAGGACACTAAACACGGTAACTATAATAAATGTGCTAAGCAAAACACCAAAACTAACAACATAATCTCTAGATTATATTTTAACAGACCTTTGAATTCTACATCTTTTATATATTGACTTAAATAATAGCTATAAGACAAACGGTACTATTTATGGCAGTTGTACTTCCCCTTTATTCAAATTCCTAATAATTAAAGTATGACACAACCTCAATTTACAGTTGTTAAACTCAAAGTATATTCATCAAAACTGCAGCACAGCAGTCATCACCAGGTGCTGCATGAATGTGTTTGGCTTTCTTAAATTTCAGCACACATTCCTTTATAATGCAAATATTTTAACATTGCTCTAGCAGTATGTAGTGAATGGGGATGATAATTCTCTGACCAATGTAGAATTGATATCTTCAGTGTTCCTCAGACACGCAACAGGAATCCAAGGTTCATGCTGCTTGGAATCTGAATGCTTTCCAGTGCTAAAGAAGATGGGTTGAATGGGAATGTAACTGGAAATATGAATTTTGCATCCATTAGCAGCTGAGGGGAGTCTTTTCGATTTTGTAAACGAACCTAGAAAATAGCAACAGAAAGTTAGAAGATAGTTAACAATGGTGTAGGCAGAAATACAGATTACAAATGTTACTTGTACAGGAAATAAATTTTTTTAACCTTGCCAGCCTTTTACTAAATGTGTCAGTACATTCAGAGAAACAATCATAAGTCATAAGAGTAGAAGTAGGCCATTCAGCCCAGATTTTGCTCCACCATTCAATGAGATCATGGCTGATCGATAATCCCCAATTTCATCTTCCTGCCCTTTCTCCATAAAGCTGGATACCCTCACTGAATAAAACTCTGTCTCTCAGCCTTAGATATTCCTAATGACTGAACTTCAACAACCCTCTCCAGCAAAGTATTCCATAGATTCACTATCGTCAGAGAAGAAACTTTTTCCTCATCTCTTTTGTAAATGGCCCACCCCTTATTCCGAAATTATGTCTTTTGGTCCTAGACACTCACAAAGGGAAAACAACCTAACAATATCTATCCTGTCAAATCCCCTAAGAATGTTATATGATTCAATAAAGTCTCCTCTCATTCATCTAAACTCCAACGAGTACAGGCCCAGCTTACTCAATATGTCCTCATAAGAAAATCCTTCTCCACCTGGGATCAACCTAATGAACCTACTCTGCTCTGCCTCCAGTGCCAGCATAAACTGTTCACAGTACTACAGCTGTGGACTAACTACTGCCTAGTATTGTTTAACAAGACCTCGCTAATTTTGTACTTCATTTCCTTTGAATGTTGGGCTTTATTTCAATTTGTCTTCCCTATCACCTGAACATGGATGCTAGTCTTTTGTGATTCATGCATGAGCACCTCAAATCCCTCTGTGTCGCAGCTTTTTGCAGTCTTTCTCCATTTAAATAATACTCACCCCTTCTATTCCTCCTGCCAAAGTGCATAACTACACATTTTCTGACATTATATTCTATCTATCTGCCAAGTTTTACCCACTCTCTTAAGCTGTCTATTTTTTGAGTAGATTTGATTTATTGTCACATGTACTGAGGTACAGTGAAAAGTTTTGTTTTGTGTGTTATCCAGGCAAATCATACCCTACATAAGAGGGTAGAAGAACAGAATGCAGAATATAGTGTTACAGCTACAGAGAAGGCGCAGACAAAGATCAACTTTAACATATCTTTCTGTAGGCTTTGTTCATCCTCAGCAGTTACCTTCCCATGAACTTGTGTGTCACGCACATGGACCAACAATGATGCTTGTCAGAGAAAGATGAACAATCTTACCACATATGCTGTTGTTTCTTGTACTGAAGGATCGTGTCATAAATAAAAACCCTTCCACACAATTTTCAAAGGTTTTCCTTAAAACCTCACATTAGAAACAAATCTTGTAATAAGATCATAACTCCGCTAGGTTGCAAGAACACAGAGCAGCAACAAAAAACAAATTTAGTTCAAAGCTGCTCAACTTCAACATTTGACTAAATTCTGTTGCCAATTCCTCTAGCTAATCATTAGGAAGCCCTGAACAATTATTATAATCCAAGACCAGCAAATACTTGAATTTTTCTATCAACACATTTGCTGAATAAATCATGAGAAAAGTCACTGAAATGTCAGAAGCAGCTATACTGAACAAAAAAAAAAAAAAAAATCGATCATTTACTATAATGCAAGATATAAAATGAAATGTCACATTGAACATTCTGGTATTCATACTGCAAGTTCCCAAAGTAAAATATTAATGTAAATGAGAAGAAAGGGAGAACAATATACATGAAACATTTCTCTAAAGAACTGAAAAATTAAGAAAGAACTTAAAAAGTTTTACCTGAATTGTGCGTATGAATGAGGCAGTTACACGCTCTTCAAACTCATTAACAGGAGTGTACAAATTTAGGACTTTCACAATCTGTTTGGCAAAGACAAAAAATGTAGTTTCTATTACAATCTTTAACAATGCAACTTAGAATCATGTCACTAAGTTGGTTTGCCATACCAACTGCTATAATGTAATCCAACACTATGAGATGTTACCACTCAATAAATTCTAATGGTACATCATTCGTAATGAATTTATTGTCTGCTTTCCTTGATCAATTAATCCTTTTCTAATTAAATCAATTCAATTCCAACACAAAAACTACCAAATAAACCTTTTCTTAAATTCTTGGATAAATAACAAGATTTACATAAACAAAAACAGAAATTGCTGGAAAAACTCAGCAGGTCTGGCAGTATCTGTGGACAGAAAGCAGAGTTAACATTTCAGGTCTCATTTTGAAGACGGGTCACTGGATCTGAATCGTGAACTCTGATTTCTCTCCACAAATGCTGCCAGACCTACTGAGTTTTTCCAGCAATTTCTGTTTTTGTTTCGGATTTCAAGCATCGACACTTTTTTTTGGAGTTTTTTTTGATTTACATAATCCAATGTAAGGACCTTAAAGGAAACATTTATTTCTTGACTCCCTGCTCCACACCCAACATAGTTAGTCATAACTTTCAATGTTTTTCACAAGAATAATTCCAAGAAGGACTGAGAAAGAGCACAGAACATCCTGTGCTGATAATCATGACTCCTCATCAGTATCCATAAGTCTGCATTTTCAGTTTGGAGTTCAAATAGAACAGGTTTCCATGAAGATAGAATATCTGTCTTAAATTACAACAAAGTTGTGATGTTAATAATATTTCCAAACTGGTGATTGTATCCTTGCAGCCACTGCTGGTACACAAGAAGTTTACCACGGTAGCATCGACCCATTCCAAGTTGGAAAATACTGATAGATGACCAAAAAAGGCTCTTAGTTTTAGATTATTTGATTTATTAGTATTTTGGAAATCCTTTAGTAATCCACAGGAAGACTCAAGTTTAATACTGTGAAATGTATTGGGGCAGCTGGGGCAACTGTCCAGTTGGACTTGCATTCTGATACTGAGGAGAATTGGCCAAGGTTACTATTGTTGAAGGCTATTCCCATTGGAGATGTCCTTTGACGACTGGATAGGATTCAGTTCTGATGGCTTGGCCAAATCAACAGCAAAATATTCACTATTGATACTCAGATATAAATAAAGAACAACTGATCAAGCCTCCGCAGGATGATCAGTGACTGTTCGATAGAAATCATACTGATATTGAACCATACCCCAGCAAGGAATCAACACTTTCAAAGAAGAAAGGAGAAAATTTGGGAAGAAAATTGTTCTAAAAATTAATTTGAAATTATTTAAGGGCATAATTGACAGGTATAAACGTGGAGACACAACACAAGCAGCACAGCAGGACATGCGCGGAGCCAACGTGTACACGGCAAGGCAGTGCATGTACAGAGACACAGCACACCCATGGAGAGAGATAGCATACAGGTGGCATACCTGAGCAGTGGTAAGATTACTGCACATGGAGCAAATGGCCTCTGCATCCTCATCAGTCTTCTTTTTCACCTGCAGTAGCTGTGCAGCCTGAATTAAAGGCTCTAGAGTTTCTTTTGCCCCACTGGTCTGCAGGTTCTTGTCCCGCAGCCACTCTTCAAGTTGGCTCACATTGTACCTGCAGAACAAAAAGAACAATATCACACCCGACTGGTTTCAAAGACAGATCCCTCACAGGGTAGGGGGTTATTAAAAGAAATCTTTTGAAATTATGAAATCATTTCTAAACAGGTTGTTATGTAAAAACCGTTCAAGAAACAGAAATATTAAACTGGAGTAAGCAGATGAATGAATTTCTGTAGGGGTGGGGGACAACAGGAAGGTAGGAAACAAGGTCATTTCACTTCACTTAAGACAGAACATAACCAGGAAAGAGGGAAAGAGGTTAAAAAAAATACTAATTAACAACTGACAAATCCATATTGACTCTGACTGCATGAAGCTTTTCTAAATGTCCTACTTCTTCCTTAACAGTGGACTCTAGCATTTCCCAATGATAGATATTAGACTAAGTGGCTTGAAGTTTCCCGCTTTCTGTCTCCCTCCTTTTTGGTCATGGGTGGCACATTAGCAGTTTTTCAATTGGCTGGAACCATCCCAAAATCCAGTGAGTTTGTCACATTTCAATCAATGCCTCTACTATCTCTGCAGCCATTTCGTTTAAAACCCTGGGAATGTACACCATCAGGACTGGAGACTTGTCTCCTTTTATTTCTATTAGTTTATTAAGTCCTTTGTTCCTCACGATAGAGACCTTTCCTCCCATTATCACCTTGCTTAAGATTATTCAAGCATTATCTGATTTAAGAAAATAGACAAAAAGAAATTGAATCAATTTTGAAATGCATTATCTTTGCATTGTTGTCATGCTTTTGTTAAAAACAAACAATTATAAATGATAATGTTGCATAATATCCATATGGTTTCTCTCTTGTTCATGGGATGTGGGCATAGCTAGCTGGGCCAGCATTTATTAAGAATTTCTAAAGTTCCCTGGAGAAGGTAGTGGTGAGCTGCCTTCATGAACCACTGCAGTCCTTATGGTTTAGGGACACCCAGTGTTGTTAAGAAGAGAGTTCCTGGATTTTGATCCAGTGAAAGCGAAGGAACAGTGATATAGTTCCTAGTTAGGATGGTGAATGGCTTGAAGGTGAACTTCAGGTGGTGGTTTTCCCACGCATGTACTGCCTTTGCCTTTCTGGGTGGTGGAAGCTGTGGTGTTAGAAGACTCTGTCAAAGGAGCCTTGGTGAGTTACTGCAGTGCATCGTGTAGCTGTAGTTGTCACTGTGCTTTGGTTGAGAAAGGAGTGAACAATTGAGGATGATGAATGCGGCAACAGTTAAACAGGTTGCTTTATAATGGCTGTAATGCGGTCAGGAGCTGAATGGCCCTGAGCAGCATTAAGCAAGTAATTGTCATTCACGTGCCGTTTGACAGCATTGTCAACAACCCCCTCCATCACTCTGCTGATGGTACACTGTAGACTGATGGGCTGGTCATTGGCCAGGTTAGAACGGACTTGCTTTTTGGTGGACAATAAGTATCCAAAGGTGCTACAAGGGGTCCTGTACTGCTATGGTAGTGTCCCTGCCTATGAGCCAGGAGGCCTGGGTTCAAGTCCCATCTGCTCCAGAGTTATGCAATATTCAGAGATGTTGTTACTGAACAGGTTCTTTAGCAAATGTTGACAACAATACTGCAGAGTACACGACCTTTCCACTGATTCTGGATGGATCACGTACCTGATCTGCATTCCTTTGCTCCATGAACACATGTCCTTGCGAAGAAGCAAGTTGTTGAGGGTGACAGAACCAATGATATAGAACATCTGCCTGATGATCTGTTTGATGAGCTCTGGATCCATGCCATGCTGACACATTGTGGAATGGAAATTGTTCAGCTGCCGGACTATGGAATCTAGAGTATAGGTACCTTCATCTGCAACACTCGAAGTCCTCTTCCGTAGACCCGTGGGCTTTAGGCCAGATACCCCCTGAATAGTCTCATGTTCCAACATACCTGAAACTATTTCACAGTACGAAGAAGTTAGGATCATAACTTTCAATCCAGTTTTCTGTTTGAATCTACAATGAAGGTTAATAGCAGTCCTTTTATGGCCAACATATTAATTTTCCTCACATGAAGCACTGAATGTTTTCATGTTAATCCAATTTCCAAACACAACATTGTACACTCCACTTCTGTTTAATACTGCCATCTTAAACTCTGTTAATCAATTGCTTTTCTCCCCCACTCTACAGAATAAAAGGCTTCTTCAGCATCCCTCACATTACATGTTCAACATTACAGGAGTGCCTGTACAGGCTGGTGGGACCCATGGGACACAGAACATTGCATTTTTTCATCCAGTGTCAAAACACACTGAGGTCAACCACATAATTGTACACAATGTTCACAAAACAAAGAACAGGGTGGTATTTTCCAGCCAGAAAAGTTTACAGAAAGGGATTGCAGGACCCTATCTTGGTGCATTTCTTTGCATTGGAGTAATGTCCTGGACATGATTTCACAACATTATAATGGGAATAAAAGGACTCTCCTAAATACATACAGTTCAAAAGCATGAAAAATAAGACCCATCTTCGGGCTTTAACATAGGGGTAAACTAGCCACCTCTCCCAAGTCTAGAACATCAAGAATTCAATAACAATTAAAAGGAATTTCATTTCTTAACAGAATGGTATTCTGAACTATGTGAATAAAAGTGGTACGGCTTTTGTTTTAATTATATTTACAACTAGAAATTTATATTCCCTTATTCAAAAAATAATTCAGAACTCAAACCTTAAATGGACTTTTATCAAATCAATTCCTCTTCCTTCCAAGCAAAAGCAACTCGTTTCACAACAAACTGAAATTCAGAAGCTTTCTGATTTAACAAATTGCAGAGTGTTTGTTCTCAGTAACAAATGTATTTTTTAAATTCTCATTTACAAATGCTTACCGATCATTGGCTGCAAGATATTTTCCATGACCTTCGTCAGCTGTTGGTATATCTGAATTGCTAGGTCACTTATGACCTGCCTGTACTCAGCAAGGTCAAAATTTCTCAAGCAATGATCATTCTGTCGAGGAGTGTTGTGCTTCATAAATGCCTAAAATAACACATAGAACATTGGTAAAACAAGGACTTGTAAGTTGTTTCCATGGAGAGTGCCCTCTTCAGAATGTTACACAACTGAAGTAAATAGAGAAAATGTAACATAACCTACACATCTCACCAACAGAGGTCACGCCACTCAATACTTTTGCTGTCAGTCTTAATTTAAAACTTTATGGAAACTAGTTTTGATTACTTGTGCTAATGTGTGTTAAATTCCTTTATGATTTATAGGGATTAGTGCTGTACTGAATGAATGGACCGTGTGGACCCCCTAAACTCCACGCCCATTTTCCAAATGGGGCCTGTACGTATTTTTTTTTCCTTTATTCATTCTCGGGATGAGGGTGTTGCTGGCTAGGCAGCATTTATTGCCCATCGGGCAGTTAAGAGTCAACCACATTGCTGTGGGTCTGGAGTCACACATAGGCCAGACCAGGTAAGGATGGAAGCTTCTTTCCCTAAAGGACATTAGTGAACCAGATGGGTTTTTACGACAATCGACAATGGATTCAAGGTCAATGGATTCATGGATTAATGCAACAGGTTTTTCCTCTTGTAAACGAGGGAGTTGAGAAGTGTCTAAGACATACTGTGCATTCATTTTTAGCACACTTGTGCATGGTTGAATATAATCTGACCGGCAGATTTTAAATCTACATAGTTTACCAGGAATTATGATAAATTCCAAACTTACAATCACTTAAACAAAATGTTATGTCAATTTATCCTACCATAAGTGCAAATGATGGTTAAGAAAAATTATTCAACAGCAGAATGGATAAAGTGAAATACATGGCCATCACTTGAGGCCTGTTTCTGCTCTCTATTCTATTACAACATCAAACCAGTTAGTTCATATGCAACCAAATTTTTTCAAGTTTTGAAGAACTTTAAAACTCTCTCCAAATCTAAACACAAAGCTTGAAAAGTGCATTTACAGCCTTGTTTCTGTGGCACCATGGACTTTTTGTTTCGAGTTATCTTTTACTAATTTAACAGAGTGTAGCAAGCACAAGAGAAACATGCAGTTGTAATATGGAAAATGTACATATTCTATAAGGGTAACACAGTAACATATTTAAGATAAGATTTATATGAGTGTACAAAACCACATTTTACCTCTTCTCCACTGTATTGCTTAAGACAATGCAAAAAGCGACAAGTATTGGACAACCAGAATGACACAATTTCAAAGTCATCGCTTCGTTTCTGAAATAAAAGTAGGTTGAGAGAAAACAAGAACAGGAAATCAACAACTTACGTAAGTGTAAAGAAGAATATTCCCTTGTGAAACAGCACTAGGTTGTTAAGTTCTCAGTTTGGATATTCAGTTCTGCTCACCATAATTTGAGTTTTAAGAGAGCTGCCGTATTACAAATAAACATTGTCAATCCTGTCATGTCTGTGATTCTGCAGTTTTATAATATGTTTATTCTGCAGGAAGGTAATATGTGCACAGAATTGTCACTTAGTTTCAGCCAAATGCAACAGAATTTGGATAACCAGCTAATTTATACAGGTGTTCTGACTATCGAGTTAAGTTTGTCTTATGACTCATGTCATGAGACAGAAATATTGTCATTCAAGTTAATTATTGTATAAGGAATGTCCTAAATACACCCACAATTTCACAATTCCCTACTAAGAGACAATCAGATCCTATTCTGAAATCCAAGGTGTTTAATAAGAATTCAAATTCAATATTTAAGTCATATTAGAAGAAAACTTTGCAAAGATCAAAATTGCAAATCTGCCATTATAAACAAGTAGGCAGACATTCAGAATATAACCTTTTATTTTAATGGTTAAAAAATGTATTAATGTTGTAGTAGCTGATCCTGATGTCCACTGGTATTAATGAAATTCCCCTCATACCACAACACTCAAGTATTCTGCTGTAGGAATTAACATCAGGCACCAAATACACCCAAATACTTCTGTGAATCAACACTGAAGTTATTTTCTCAGCCAGTTGTGATGCAAGCAAACTTCAAAACTTTAATAGCTGTTCAGGGATTATAAGAATCAGCAATAACTCTTTCTGGGAATAAATTGTTTCCTGAGATAAAAGAAATTAAAGGCAACATGCTAATTAATCATCCCTGGGAAGGAGGGGTCGAAGCAACATAAACAAGCTGTCTCCTCTCTCCCAGAAAACAGTTTAACAACAAATGTAACAAGGAACGGGGAAGCTACCCTGATAGGAAGATAAGCTACAGACTTGACAATTCCAGTACCGTAATCAATGTTGTGAATGAACGGATCTAAAGGATAATCTGTAATGTCATATTATAAACTTCACAAGACAGAAAATCCCATAGGAATTCAACTTCGGGATTCTTTGGCAGCAGAACTCCGGAAAACCATATTGCACAAGGATCGAATCTGGACATACCCAGAGACAGACGTGGTTGGTTGGAATCTTAGCTAAATTCCACCATTAATCAGGTAATAGGTAAGTTGGGTTGTGAGGCTCAACTTGCTAACTTGCGGGGTCTTATTTTGGTTGCTACATGCAATGAAGTTTAAGTAATTGTTTCGGTCTTTGATTGTCTGTGAAATTTCTTAGTAAGTAGCTGAATTATAGGTCACTTGAGGTAATTTACAAACAACAGAGTGATGCTGATAATTTCAGAACCATTGTCTCACCACTGTTTGCTGTCAACTTTCTGCTAATAATAATAAGTTGTCATTCACAGTGGAGTTCAACTGAATTTGGATTGGGCTTTTATATTCAGCTCATCTGGTGCGAAGTAACAGAATGGCACCAAAGCTTCCTCTAAACTTAATGTGGATATTGTCTGATGGTTACATATTAATAAATGTGCACATGGTGACAATATGGTCAGACTGAACTTCCATTTTCCCCACATTGGTGCCTGAAAGTTCAGGTTTTCTCCTGTATTAAATATTCAGTAAAAGTCCACTAACCTCAACTGTTTCTAAACCAATTCATTTACATTCCCCACAATAAAGTTCAGCTTCTTCAATTTTCCTTTTATTAAAATGGCTCCAGAAAAGAAAACTGATTGGCAAAATGCAAGAGATAACAAAGTGTGGAGCTGGAGGAACACTGCAGGCCAGGCACCATCAGAGGAGCAGGAAAGCTTTTTCTGAAGACGGGTTCCGACCTGAAACGTCAGCTTTCCTGTTCCTCTGATGCTGCCTGGCCTGCTGCGTTCCTCCAGCTCCACACCGTGTTATCTCGGACTCCAGCATCTGCAGCTCTTACGATCTTGTGGCAAAAAGAGAACTGGCTTTGGTCCAGTTGTAATACAAAAAAAATCTATAAGAAGTTCATTTATTATTTTGTAACTGAATAGATTTTCCATCCCAGGCTACTAACACAGCTGCAAAATTAATACTGTAGACTACGCCTTCAGATGCACCAATTACTTTAGCTTTAGCTCGTGTACAGCTGGGGAATTGTTCTGGGGCACTTTAAATGCTGTTCCTAAACAACTATTGTCTGCATATACTGCCACACTATACAACACATACACCTTGATATTCCACTGGATTACAGTATTATCAGAGTGGCAATATCTATTTGATTATGACATATCTCAAAGCTCTAATCATTTCATTCTGTTTTATTTCCCTATGCCATTTTAATTTTTCTTCTTTAAAATATTAACCACTTTCCTTTGCAAGGTTATTATTGAGGATTCTGCTTCCACGAATGTTTCTGCTACAGTGTTCCGTATCCTTACATTTCACTGTATTGTAATAATTCTTAGTCTCTCCTTTTGTTTTAATTTTAAATGATTGCCCTCTAGTTACTGACTCAGACAAGGGCGGAGAAATGCTTCTCCCTGATTTGCTTCATCAAATGTCACAGAATTTTGAACACATTTGATATGTATCAACTTTATCTTTTTTTTTAAATTCTAGCCCTTTCTTCAATCTTCATTCATAATTAAAATCTTCTATTACCTGACAGTGAATCTCGTCTGCCCTCTCTCTAAACTGTGACACCTTTTCGGAAAGGTAGATAGCTAAATCAGGATGTTATTTCAACAGCAAAGTAAATCATTTGTGTAGATGCCATCAGATTGAAACGTGTCACATTGATTCACTGATGCCTATATTGTCTTCAGGACTATGTCACTAAGCATCATGTACATGTAGTAAACAAACTGCTGTGAGATGTCTTCTGGATACAACAAACCTAATGAAACCAACATCCTGGAAACTCAACACCACATCATTCTTGTTTGTTAGTAAGTCCTACCCTTTGTAGAAATATCATCTTACACTGTTCCTGTTATGAATCCTTCATTTCCCCGTTACTTGGCTCTCGGTTACAGTATTGTCAGATGGTGTTTGAGATGATCTTTAGTTCTTCTTTAAAAGTATTTAGGTGGTACTTGATCCTGGGACTTCTGGTCCAGAGGTAGAGACACTACTACAGTGCCACAAGAGCCCTACAAATTGACGTATTGATATTTTCTAATCAATCTGTTCACAGATGTTATTACACATTTCTGGAGCAGGTGGGACTTGAATTCAGGCTGCCTGGTTCAGAAGCAAGAACAGTGCAACTACACAACAAGAGCCCTTAACAATGCTTTACAAACAAGTAGAGGATAAATGATTGCTCATGCACAACATTCTCTAAACTCTGGCTAAATGGATCTAATTGGTCATCGTAAAAGAGCCTTCATGCTGACGGTCTGATTGCATATAAAGGATTCATTAAATTGCAATCAAACTGTGAAGATGGATTGTGTGGCCACAGTGTCTGGCCTTGTATTGTGTTTCACTGAATATGGTCACAATGGAGTAACTACAATGCACTGAAATCATGTCAATGCCAGGATGCATGGCGTGCAGTAAACACAACACCAAGCAAAATGATGGCTGTCCTACAACACATAAAAGTAAAATAAATGCAAATATAAACTAAATGCTGCAAATATAAACTAAAATACAGGTCAAATCAGGAGAGGGGGAGAAATATGTTAACCATCGCCAGAACTTCAGACAAAGTTTTGATTTCCCAATCAGCCCTTTTCTTTTTGAAATCAACCAAGAGAACACTGGCTTTAAATCAATCATTTTAAACCAGGTACCAGTTGATAAATTTACGCCTACGACTGTTTGAAACGCTATACAATGTGATTCTTTTGTTCACATACCGATGGACCTGGTACTTATTTCCTGCTTTTACAGTCACTACTTCTCCTGCCCACCAGGATTAACCTGAGTAGAGAGCTGAATGGTTATGGTATTGGATTGGTAAACTAATAAAGTATAAATCCCCCTCACAGCAAGTAATAACTCAATAATTCTCTGTAATTCTGCAGATTTCATTCCGGGTGCTAATACATTGTAAAAGGGAAATAGATTTTTAATTCCTGGATTCATGCTATCCATGAAAAGACTTTTCATACCTTCAAGATTTTCTTGATGCCATTAATAGTTGATGTCAGCAGGGACCGGACTCTCTGGTCATCATTAATATAATCAGCATGACGTACACACATAAACAGGATGTATGCTGGTAATCCAGGGATCAGGTTGACCGCCACACCACGAGGCTTTAATTCTGCAATTTAAAAGGAGCACAATTTAGTTTCAGAAAGGCAGCACAAGATAGCATTAAATAAAGAGGTATAGGCCAAGCACAGGCCATGGTATAGAATCCTGCTTGACATACGTACAGATTGCACATTCTTCAGTGCCATTGGTCACAATTCAACTGAAGACACGATGGGCCTTTCCCATAGGATATGGGAATCCAAAACTGGAGGGTATAGATTGAAGGTTAGAGGGAAAATGTTTAAAAGGGACCTAAGGGGCAACTTTTTCACACAGAGGGTGGTGTGTGTATGGAATGAGCTGCCAGGGGAAGTGGTGGAGTCTGGTACAATTACAACATTTAAAAGGCATCTGGATGGGTACATGAATAGGAAGGGTTTGGAGGGATATGGGCCAAATGCTGGCAAATGGGACTAGATTAAATTAGGATACGGCTTGTACAAGTTGGACCGAAGGGTTTGTTTCCAGGCTGTACATCTCTATGACTCTAATTAACACATCATTTTCCTCCAACTTGAAGATGATGCTATTTAAGTCCCAATCAACATATAGCTAAAATCTATTGGGAGCGCTGTCATTTTTAACCACTCACACTGGAGGGCCAGTGCAAACTCACAGATGCTACCACTGCACCCTCACTTCAGTGCCTGAGGTAAGTGCCCAGTGATGGCACAGTCAGATAAACATCAAACACAGTCACTTGCATTGTTCTTCCATGGTCACAATCACAGTTTTCTTAAGAATGAAGAGAAAACAGAATACACCTGCTCTTTTCACCAAGCAATGCACAGGGATTTATATTTTTATGCTTTCAGTTGAAGACTCCAAAAATCTCCAATATTTCCAGCATCTGCAGTTATTCACTTTTGGTATCTCTCACTGCCTGAAATGTTTGATGTACTGAACTGGAAATAAAGTAATCAGAGCAGCAATTTCCACTGTGCCAAGCCATTTTGCTACCCCTAGACAGACCAACTCACCTTGCAATTGAAATACCTGCAAGAACTGTCCCTTTGGTTCTAAATACTGTGGTGTGATAAGACTTATTTTATTATCTGTCTCCTCATCCTGCCTCTTTTAATTAGTTAAGGCAGGGCAATGGTTTCGCTCATGTTAATGTAGATTTTCTCCTGCTAACCATACCCCACAGTGAGAGGAATTCAAGGCAGATTAGGAGGACTGATTGCCTAAACTGAGCAAGAGGACCATCCCACTCTGCCCACTTCACACTGTGGCACAGTTTCTAGGGAGCACTGTTGTAGGATGTGCCTACTTAGCTTTATAAGCAGTCAGGATGCTCTCTATATTCCAATACTTGGGCATGTAAGACAAAGGGCCAGGATTTACTGAGAAGACAATAGCTGGTTATTGTTATGATACAGTGATTCCAGGAATGTGGTAGAAGTGATTTATGTCATTGCATACATCCTGCTATGAACTGTTGCAGCTTTGTGGTGGAGATCTTTACTCCCTCAATTGATACTTTTTCCCCAAACCTTGCCAGATATGCTCACCAAATATGATGAATGGCTCAATTACCAAGGCTCTGCTCTAATTAAAATCAATGGCAGGATTGTGTATGCTGAATTAAAGCCACTGTGATTGCTACAGCCAATTGGACATTACAGTGTGATACTGGTGATCTGTGCTTGGTCAATCACAGAAACTATAGTTTACTGTTTGAATTATGAAATAATTAGATTGGTCTGTTAGAGTTTATTTTGATTTTGTGATGCAGTTCAAGCAACATTTACAGTCACTGGTGTAAAGTACAAAGACATTGTATTCCGATCCAGTGGGATATGACAGCAGCTGATTCCGAACTTTAAACAGAAATCCAAATTTGCTTTCTTTAGTAAGATGAATCTTTAATCGTTAATCCTATGTGCTGTGAATGCGGTAATTATTGATAAAATGTCCAATTTTAATGCAAGATGTGTATGTCAGGTAGAGTAACAACTCCATCCAATCAGTTAACCAGACAAATAGAAAGACAGTCTTTCAGCCTTCAAGGGTATTGCTACTACCATACAATATAGGGACTTACACATGCAGCAAGTACAGAAGTCAATTGAGGTCTGAAACTTGGCTCTAACTTTTGCCAATGTATTGCTGCCATGCTTACAGCGATGGGGCTATCAATGTGGGGATAAGGAGGAGTCTGAGGATTTTGACCCAGTGGTGTATGGATGTAGAGCAGAACTTGGAGGTAAATCATGTTGAAAGTATGCAAAGGAGCAATTCATGGAAAATTCAGTATACAAGGATGCCTCACTCCAGTCCTAGTGGAGGAAGATTCAGGACGTGTTTTCCTCATCGCTGTTATCTATCACTTTAAATTTGGTTTAATCCAAGATTGTGTGCATTTCCACAAAAACAATGAATTACACCACAGAACCTACATTGTCAACAATTACAATTGCAGAAGCGATGGTGTTTTATCTTCAAATAATAAATGAGTGAACACAACCGAGATAACAGAAGTACAAACTTGCCTAATATAAGATTCTTGATGAGCTTAAACTCATCATCCTTCTTATACTCCAACATTCCCTGGAAATCCTTTTCTTTCCTTGGGATATTCACAGGACGGATGGGTTCGTCGGCTAGCTGAGCTGGAGATACGTTCTCTGTCTGACCCACTGTTACAAAGAAAGAAATATGAGCAGGCAACCCATCTCAATGCTCTGTTTACATGGAGTATCGCATGCTATTTGCTTAAGCAGGAAGAGGTTGTGAATACTTCACAAGTTATTTCTTTGACAAAACCACATGGATAAGTTTTCAAATGTAAGTAAAACTACATATGTACCCAAGTTACTGAAGTGTTAGTGCTCAAATGACGCTGCCACTTTGCTGGGTGCTATTTTACATTGTCAAAAATATTAATTTCTACAATGCAAATTGCACCTAAAACTATCTTTATAATATGAACTACAATTGTAGTATAGTAAATTGACATACAAAGGAGGAATTTCAACATCGTTATATAAAAAAAACTACATAAAATCGGTAGTCTGAAAATACAGTGGGTCCCTGATTTATGACTGACTGATAAATGAATGCTGGTATTTATAAATGTGATCCCATACAGTAGTGCAAATTTAAAGGCCCAACACATCAACATGTCCTTATGAAAAGTTCTTTTGTACCATCGTGCATTGTGCTCCAACTTCGTACAAATTGACTTATAAACTCCAGAATGGAATCCGTTTGCAACCCGGGAACTGGCTGTACTGTGGCTATATTGCTGGATTGGAGATCTAGAGGCCTGGATTAATGATCTGGAATAATGAACTCAAAACTCTCAAGGAACGCTGGAGTCATGTGAATTATATGGCATGAAAAAAAAACTAATATTAATGTTAGTGTCCATGAAAGCGCATCTGACTCACTAATGTCCTTCAGGGAAGGAAGTCTGTTGTTCTTAACTGCTTCAGCCTACATGTGACTCCAGACCCACAGCAAAGAGGTTACCCTCCAAAATGGCTGAGCAAGCCACTCAATGATTTTCAGGAAGGTAGCTCCCGCCCATCTTCGGAGAGGCCATTAAGGATGGACAACAAATGCTGACCTCGCCAGCAATGGCCATATCTCATGAATGAAGGAAGGAAAAAATAATAATCAGATCTGTTCAGGCAAGGGCCCACAAGCTTAATGTCACTGTACCTTGGTAAGCCCTTTCAATTGTTACACAAGAACATAAGAACAAGGAGTAGAGGAAGGCAATTCTGCCCCTCAGGCCTGCAATGCCATTTAATATGGTTAATCTTACTATTGCTCCTGGGTCAAAATAAGACTGAAGTTTTCATCTTAATTTGCTACAAAAAGTCATCTCATCCAAGAAAGGAACACACAAAGAACACTGCACAGCAAAATTACAGAAACATTCAATGTATCCCATTGAAAAGGGGCTTTTATAAGCATCTGCTTGTTCTATTCCAACTTAGCTCACTGGCAGCTATTTCGGGAGAAGCTGGTTTTTCAGCCTACATAACCATACCTTCCAGTTCTCCGATTTTCTTTGCAAACACTTTAAGCTGCTTTTTCAACTTCCTGATAATCTTGTCCTGTTTTTCAAGTTGTTCCATAAGATCCTGTGGTAAAGGGCAAAGAAAACCAGACTAAAAATGCTGAACTGTAGCATGCTGCCGAAATTATGAAAATTTATAACACTCACAATTAGTAAAATGCAAAGCAAGTGTAGATAAGTGTGAATCACAGTGCAGCTGGGGGTTAGTTGATGCAAACGTGGCTGACAGAAACAAACTCTTAAGATTAAGATTAAGTTGTCGGTTTACCATGAATACCAGGAACAAATCTCATCTAGACTAGCTCAGTGGGTTCGAACTGGACAGACAAACTTTGGCAGAGTTGCTGGATGATGCTACATCTCGTGAAATCAACTTGCCCCGTTGCAACTATATCACCTACTTGTGATGAGGAAACTAACTAACTAGGTTAGTTACATTTGAGCCTAATGTATTTTTTAAGGTTATTAAGAATTAATTATCTTGCACATGGCTAGATGCACCATTCTGAGACTTCAATCAAAAGTTAAAAGCCTGTTCCAAATAACTTTTCTGAAGAGGGGTCCTGACCCGAAACGTCAGCTTTCCTGCTCCTCTGATGCTGCCTGGCCTGCTGCGTTCCTCCAGCTCCACACTGTGTTATCGCTGACTCCAGCATCGGCAGTTCTTACTATTTCCAAATAAGTGCATTAGGTTTAATCCTGAACTGTTGAATTTGTCCAATTCAGATAAACTCACATTCCAGAGTTATTCCAATAGCCTGGATAGTGCCATGAAGTCAGACACGAGCCTGCGTTGTCCCAGCTGAGGTAAGGTTCAGTGGTGACATACTGCTTCTGGTTAGAAACATTAGCAATTCTTGAGTCTTACAGAAGTCTGTCCAATTGACATAGCAACTACACATTTAGAAAATGCTTTTTCCAATTTATGCAAGTTGGACAATACACGAAATAGAGCACGTATTGAAAGCAAACTTAATTAATTGATAAATCAATTTTAATAGCAGTGTAAACTTAGCAAGAGAAAAGAACTGAAACGTTCTTGCACTTTAAACCAATGTTTCAATTCCACGGAGATCAAGACAACAGGATTAGCATTGAATTGCACTAAAAATATATTGCTGTGTTGTGTTAAAAAAGTGACAATAGTAAAACAGTAAGTTGCTGGGTAGCCACAATACATAAGAGAAGGAAAAAACAGATTTTTCTTCACAGGTGCACAGGCAAATCATTCTGCTGTTAGTGCTCCAGACAGAGAAAGTGGAAGAACAATAATTCAGGCCAAAAACATGGTTTGATCTACATACAATGATCCGTTTGTAAAGCGAAATCCTGTAGAACTGATACTTCATGGGGTCATCTGCATATAACTCCTCATAATACTGCAAAAATAGTGGTGAGATTTGTGTGATTACCCAAATGGTTTAGAAATTATGCCAGCAGATTGGGAAATATTCAATGGCTATTGAACAGGAGTGCACGTGCCTTATGATCATCACTTTATCCCAGTAAAATTCTTTTTACATTCAAACATTTTTAAAGTAACTCATATTGCACTAATCAAAAAACTAACCTTGAATTCCGACTGTCACCATTGAACAAACTGGGTTTGTTCTCTAATCTCACCCGATTATCCTGCAGAGAGTTTTAAACAGCCAAATGGAATTATCAGGTCATCTAAAACGCAAGTTAAAACAGAGACAACTTGCATGGTGGATGATCAACAAGATGGCTGCTCGAAGCTGCCAAAGTGCCTCTGTAGGTTCAGACATGAACTGTGAGATACATTGTGCCAGTCTTTGAAGAAGCATCACTGCATCAAATGACTGAAGATGGAGGGGCAGAAGTAGGCTATTTGGCCAACAAAGTCTGCTTGTCCTGGAGTGAAAATATCGCTTTTGAAATAATGCAAACACGGAAAATAAGTGATTAAGTGTCATTTTCAAACAGAATGCCAAATTGAAAGTACAGAACAGGTGAATCAGCACTGTAAAAAGGCAAGACGGTTTTGGCATTGTACATCCACTTCATACAGAACTCCTGTCATAAGCCAGTCTATTCTCTTTACAGCTGTTAACTGACTTGCTCTGCCATACACCATCTTCTGTTTTTATTCCAGATTAGCAGCATTGATTTGTCATTTTAGCCCTTCATGTTTTGTTTGTGCATGGTTAGTCACACACACTTGGGTTGGGAGTGCACCCCTCTCCTGAAAGTGAAGGTGTGACCAGATCAATGCTATCGGAGTCAGCTCCCATTCTTTGAGAGATTACATTGTGTCTGTTTGACCATCTCAGCTCAACTTTGCCCAGATTTCACCTGACACCTAGTGACTGGCTGAGAACAGCCCCAACACAGTACACCTAGTGACTGAACATTGGGAAGCGTAAGCCATTAGCTTTGGGTGTATACTGAATAATTTACAAAGTTGCACTTCTTCAGTATAAATATGTGAATTGGTGTGGTTAGTTTTATCTTTTTATAAAGCAGTTGACCTTTCAGGAACAAGTAACCTGCCATATACCGGGTGATCTACAAATTTGTCTTTGCTATCCAGTACCTAAATAAGGAGTTGATAACTGTTACATACAAGCAAATGAATTAGGAGCAGGAGTAGGCCATTCAGCCCCTTCAGCATGCTGCGCCATTCAGTGTGGTCATGGCTGATTTGACTATGACCTCAATTCCACCTTCCCGGATACCTTTAAACTTCTTTGTTGATCAAGTGTCCGTCTGACCCAGCATTAGAATTATTCGAGGACCCTACCTCTACTGCTTGCTGGGGAAGAGAATTCCCCCACAGACTCTCAAATTCTTCTCAGCTCCGTGTGAATGGCAGATCCCTTCCTACTCCTCCTCATTCAGTCAGGGCTCCTGCCTATTGCCAGTCACTGCCTCTGCCAACAGTTGTACACTTTTGTGGGTGCCTGGTGAAGACTGGACAAAGTTTGTCTGGGGGATGGGCAAACGACCACACTGCAATCTCACAAAGAATGGCAGCTGATTCCAGTGGCATGGTATGCACCTCCAGAAGAGGAGTTCTCATCTCTCCAACAAGGGGAAACAGCCTCTCAGCATCCACCCCATCATTTCCCCTCAGGATCATGTATGCTTCTATAGGATCGCCTCTTACTCTTCTGTATTCCCCTTTATCTCATCCTTTGTCTATCGCTCTCCCCTTGCCACATATTAATCTCTGGCTGTGGGTTTCAGATTGTAATCTTCTTTCCTGCTTCAATCAATGCTGCTCTCAATACAACATGCTCTTTAGCTTTCCTTTCAAGAGGGGTTGAATTTTCACCAAGTGACAAAATTTGTAACATCTGCACATCTCTGCCATATGTTGCGAGGTTGGGGAGAGTACTTGTGGATTGGAAGGCAGGACATTAGAATTTGTTTGTAAAATGATAGGGGAAAAATGAGAGTGCGGTCCCTTTAAAAGATGATATGCTTTCCCTAGGCTTGGAGATTTGAAAAAAGTGTCAGTGACAAGCAGCAGGCATAGAGAGTTCCCGAAATTGAAACATTTGTATCAAAAGGCTGGATGGTTAGTAATCCAGGCAGTAGTCTTGTTTTGTTATTAAGGCAATCAGTTTCATTTTCAGCCAATTAATTTAAACCAGGCACTTACAGATCAAAAACCAATTAAATTTAAATCTGATCGTTTTGACAACCTAGGACCAATCCTACTGTAAGAAATTAATAGGTCATCAAGAGTATATGAAAATCATGGTGAGATCAACTGCTATCTGTTAGAGTTAATAATCAGCAGCCCTAAAGACAAAGTTACTGATTGTCACGGAATTCTCTAAGTTCTCAGAAAACCATCATCTAATTAAAGGTACAACAGCACTCATAGCTAATATTTCTGACACATAATTCAACGGAGAAAGGCGCTCCTGGCTGAAGAACAATGGAAAAGGTACAGAACATTCCAGAAGACATATCCTGGATATAATTTCGAGAGATTAATTTTTAATTATTTTTATTATTTTGGTTTATATAAGTGGGAATTGTATTTATTGGAACAGCATACCATTAGAATGTTGTTTTATTTGGGAGTAGTTAGTAATTGAGGGGGGAATTGTTCCGTTTGTTAGTAGTTCTGTTCATTTGTTCACTGTTAGAGTTAGATAAATAAATTATTACTTGTTGATTATAGAGTAACTGACAGGAGTTCATTTCATTTAACTTCCCCTTTATAGCAGCTTTTACCAGTGGCATGGTACCCTCCTCCAGAAGAGCTTGAGAGGCAGGTTATACCACTTTTCTCACTTCCTTTAACAAATTATAGGGCGAGGCAAACCTCTCTGGATGTTTTGGTTTTAGTTATCAGAGGGGGATCAACCTCTGCTTTATAACACAATATACTGAAATAAAAATATCGTGAAAGCATGAGCAGTTTTAATACGGGAAATAGTTAGTGATAGCTAATTGAGTCAGGTGTGTGCGCGTGTGCGTGTGTTTTTCCAGGTCACTGATGTGTACACGTCTCTGCTCCAGCCCACACAGCACTGACCACTTCATTCAACACCAATATATGCCCTTCATTAATGTCCAGGGGAAATAGATTTAAGGGAAGGGGCAGAGGATTTAGAGGGAACATGAGGAAAACCATTTCACCCCAAGGGTGATGGAAATATGGAACTCACTGTCTGTAAGGGAGATAGAGGCAGAAACCTTCATAACATTCAAGAAGTATTTACATGTGCACTTATGATGCCAATACATACAAGGCTATGGACCAAGCGCTGGAAAATGGGATTAGAGTAGCTACCCGCTTGTTTTTGACTGGTACAGATTTGATGGGCAGAAGGGCCTTTTTCTGTGCTGTAAACCTTTATGTCACCAATCCTAATTTCTGGAACTTTGTTCTCACTAATTTAAAATGTGAAAGGACAGATGGCAGCATGACTCCCTGCTGCTGCGCTGGCATGATTATTTAACTAGATGAGGAGAAATGCAAAAATTGGGATTGGACAAGCCGATGTTTAGTACCATAAATTATTTTCAGACAGTGTAAAAGGGATGGATCCCCTTTAACTGTGCATTGTGTGGTAAAGCATATCATCCTCTTTAGAAGCAGCATCTGCTGGCCATTTCAACTGGAAGGCTCAATGATTCTGTCAGGACAGAAAATGATTCCTGCTTTATGGATCATCTCAGAAACACCAAGGACCCATTTTAGGACAGACAGGAAAGTTGCAGAAGAATTAAAATTTCCCACCACCAGGATACCAACAATAAAACAGCACATTGCAAAGATGCTGTGCTCTGAATAACTGCATGCATAACCTGCCAGAACTCTAAAACAACATCAGGAGTTGTGCATTGCTCATCATAACTGGAAACCATGCAAGCAATCAATCATAAAACGACAGAACCACTAAAAAGTAATTCTGAAGTAATGTTGGATGACTAGAAGTTACTTCTTTTCTATGGTTACATTTAATCTAGTTTTCTTCTTCAGTTCCATGATATATTATTTCAGGCAAAGTTGCTGAAGTCCTAGAGGACCATAGGGCTGCTCACTTATTACAGAGAGACGATTGGCAATTAGTTTAACTTGAGGGTCAACACCTCTCAGGCAAGGGGGGAGATTGAGGAGAGTCCTTCATAGTAACCTCAGCGGTGTGGGAACTGAACCCCCTGTCATCCAGCCAACTGACCTCCAATATAGTATATACACAATGATGGAACAGCAACTTCAATAAACATAGCTGTTTTTCTCAAATCAGAAGGTTTGAGTAGATGATCCCTCTAGCACTGTGTATGTAAATATAATTGTAAACAACAAAGATCTAATCACTACAGCTTGTAGTTTATACATATATAATAGTATAAAGAAGGAAATGGGCTTCCTTTCTCTGAGAATCCCTACAGGGTGGAAGCAGGCCATTCGGCCCATTGAGTCCACACCGACCCTCTGAAGACCCAAACCCACCCTACTGCCCTATCCCTGTAACCCTGTATGGCTAATCCATCTAGCTTGCTCATCCCTGGACCCTGGGTAATTTAGCATGGCCAATCCACCTAACCTGCACACCTTTGGACTGTGGGTGGAGACCGGAGCACCCGGAGGCAAACCACACAGACACAGGGAGAACGTGCAAACTCCACACAGACAGTCACCCGAGGGTAGAATCGAACCCAGGTCCCTGGTGCTGTAAGACAGCAGTGCTAACCACTGAGCCACCGTGCCTGACTGACACGGATGTATTTGGTGATCACGTTGGTCTGATAAAGCAATGTAATACTTACAAGGTTTTCATTGGTTAACCTAGTAATCTCATGCTGCAGACTGGCCTCAATGCGGGCCTCTGGGGGCAGTTGCAAATTCTGGGCCAATAACTGCTGCTGACGATTGATCTCCTCTTTGAGATTCTGAACCTCTCCACGTAAGATCTCCAGCTCATTCTCATAGTTCTTTTTCTGGCCCTGAAGCTGAGATTCCAGCAATCTGCAGACAAACAAAAAAAGGGCATTATCAAACTGCAACTGTATCCTTTGGAAATCAACACAGCATGGTCACCCGTCAAGGTTAGAGCTGTGACTGTACACAGTACTCAGGTCATGTCATTCTTTAAACCTCTCAAAGTGTTACAGGGAAGTGAGGGAGTGAAAGTATTCATGAAAATCAGTTGAAGAAAGAACAAAAATAGAAGGCATCCTCATCTTTTAACTTACCAACTAGTGAGCTGTTTAATATTAAACTTTCATCGCACAGTCAGAGCCAGAGCATACAGAACGGAAACTGATCCTTTTGTCCAACTGGTCCATGCCAACCAGATATCCTAAACTGATCTAGTCCCATTTGCTAGCATTTGGCCCAAATTCCTCTAAATGCTTCTTATTCATGCACCCATCCAGATGCCTTTTAATTGTTGTAATTAAAGCCTCCATCACTTCCTCTGGCAGCTCATTCCATACACGCACCTCCCTCTCCGTGAAAAAGTTGCCCCTCAGGTCCCTTTTAAATTTTTTCCCTCTCACCTTAAACCTATGCCCTACAGTTTTGGATTCCCCCACTCCAGGGAAAAGACCTTGTCTGTTCACCCTATCCATGCCCCTCATGATTTGATAAACCTGTAATAAGGTCACCCCTCCGACACTCCAGGGAAAATAGCCCCAGCCTATTCAGCCTTTCTCTATAGCTCAAACCCTCCAGCCCTGGCAACATCCTTGCAAATCTTTTCTGAACGCTTTCAAGTTTCACAACATCCTTCCTACAACAGGGAGACTAGAATTGAATGCAATATTCCAATAGTAGACTAACCGATATCCTGTACCGCCCCAACTCCTGTAGCTTGTTAAGTAACACTTTGTGAAGGTTTAAACAAGTGAAGCAAGAATACGTCATTCACAAGAACAGCTACAAGAAACTAGCTGCTGGATGCACATTGAAGACCGTGCCTTGCAGTTCTGGCTTTAAAGAGTCATGAACACGGCCATAGCGACAGGGTGCTAATGCGTTTCCAAAAGAGTTCAGTGCTAGAAGTTCCCAGGTTAACTGCCTGTGTTAGAGGCCACTTCTACTAGAAAGAATGAGATGGAAGACTATATGCATGCTGTCCTCTGTCATAGAGGAAATTCATATCAGGATTTTTTTTTCCCCACATGACTTACAATCATCAGAATATGAGATGTTAGCACTGAGGAACTTTCTCATTACAACAAACAATATATTGAGTTGTATTGCCACCAGCTATAGAGCAAAGCTCCCTTTACTCTATTTAATCTTGTGGTGAGGCCGAGTTGGATTGGTAATTAACTGTAATTTTGTGCTGGGGTCATTAGAAACCCAGCTAAGATGGCCTCTTTCCCAGAGGGCCACCAGTCTGGGTGAGATATAATGGAAACAAATGGGCAGTGTGTTTACACATAGCATTGCACGTTCCTCTGCGTTCAGTCTTTGCTGTTAGATCATAATTAGCTCTCTTTCAACTGACCGTTGTTTCATCACTCTTGATTTAGGAAAGGGGCTGGCTGTAACATGCTCTAAGGTTTCAAGAGCTGCCACCACCATATTACATTTCACAATAACTTCTTTACCATTGTTATTCCAGGATTAGCAGTCCATAGCTGTTATAAAGGATTATTTGGCCATCAAGCAGAATAAGTGCATAGAAAACTACTTTGAAGATATTGTACAGCAGCTATTAAAAAGTTCCATTAGAATTCACCATACACTGCTAGATTTCCTCTTCAACAGCAAATTCTGCTTTAAGTATTGTTAACACAGTAAGTCTAACTCTACGAGTTTGAGTAGTTTTCACCATAACATTAAGACATAACATTAAAACATGACATTAAAACATGCCAAAGCATATTTCTGTAACGCAAGTGCACAGCAGTGATCATTGGTTAGTGACAAAGCGCAGATGTAGAAAGGCCCTAGGCAGAAATGTGGTAACCTGTTGGTTTGTTTTAACCCTTCATAGGCCATCCAGAGCTCTCCATCCTCATTCAGCAAATGGCAATCCTGTGATGGTCTTCCATGAGAACAAAAATCGCAAACAGGGAAAAAGAAGGGACAAGTGATGGGAATGAGTATGAAATGTTAATGACAAAGCTCAAAAATGATGGTAACATACAAGAGGGAGTTACATTTAGACAGGATGAGAATAGTAAAACATTGACTTATAATTGTCTCATACTAATTTCACATTTCATTCTGCGTTTGAAATCTAAATTTTACACATTAGTAATGCAGGACCAACGAGTTGCATCTGTGCGGTTGTTAACATTTTTGCAAAAAGTGCTTCCTAGACATAATCAGACAAAAACAGATACTAGTCCTGAGGAGGATGATCAAAACAGAGACATGTTATTGTTAAGGAATAACAAAATAAGTAATTGCTATGGTGACTACTAGAGACATGCATTCAATCATTATAACAGTGTTTTGTTTAACACAATGCTAGAGATACTTGTGTTTGACTAGCTAAGCATAATATAAAGGATGGCCATCTATCTTTTACAGACAGTAATACTCCTGTTCCCAGTTTGTGCACTAGTACAAGACTCTTCCATCTCAACTGCATGTGACAAGTATCAGGGTCCCGGTAGGAGTAGTGGCTGCATTTTATGGTCATTGATTGATTGCAAGCACAGAAACAAGCAGCCCACAGGTCCAGCTGTGTAAAAGATTAGGGGTTGAGTGAATTCCTCCATTGCTCACAGAGGTGGTGAGACTCAGAACCACCAGCTTTCCACTCTGTTTGCTGCACAACCCAAATTCCATTCTTGGGGGGGTACAGGGCAAGGATGGCTACCTGGGTGAATCCACCCTCCTCAAGTCTGCTCGAAACTTTGGAAAATATTGGTTTGGGACATGCAGGGGTTGCATTCCTGGGATTTGACACAGTGTACAGTCACAATTGGTTAATCAGAAAAGTTGCCATTGTTCAAGGGCAAGGGTTGATCCCCGAAAACAAGATTAATTAATTTTCAAAAGTCAGAAATTCTCTCTCTTAACAGCAGAGAGATTGGTTTCCAAATAACAACTTTAATATTTGCTGTCCCAATGGAGCTGTAATCTCTGTTGTGTCAACACAAGCGCATGCACAAATTCTGGGAATGATCCTGTCCCTTCCTGTGATCTGGGATGGAGTCAATGTAGGCTGTAGGTGATCAGACTTCCTGCTATGCTGCACTTTCACCAGGGAATCCTGGAATTTCAGGCCCATGATCTGCACATCTCATACCAACTTAATAACTTCCACAGTTTAGTTTGCAATGAATAGAAATCGGTCAGTTAATCAATAATTCAGACAAAGTGCTGTGGTGAAAGGAAGGTTATTTTCTTGTGTGTTACAAGATCCTGAAAAGGAGTTTATTTGCAGACTCACTGGAAAAATGGTATGATCCTTGGTAAATCTCCATGGAAATAGGAACATACTTGTTTAATACCTTGTCCTTCTCTCATTTTCTTTTCTGAAGGATTGTATACCCTTCCAAGGGTATGCATAGGGCACCTTCTAATGCATTTCACAAATACACCTTGACAACAAGTGTTGACAAGATACTTGACTTTGGAGGATACATCATGGATAAGCAAAATGCTGGCCTCGCCCAATATTCACATCCCTGCACTCTCATAGGAAGATTCAGAAGCAGCAACACCAGCTCATCGTTCCCCCAAATAACCCAAGGAAACATTTTGAAAAACTCTAACTAAAAGATAATTACAGTTTGGGTTACGCCTTTGGCCAAGTCACATGCCATTTGTATAAGTCACAACTTAAGCTATCAGGTTTTTAAATCTGAATTTTTATTCATATACTGATCAAACAATTCCTACCTATGTGCACAACTTTCATACAATGACTCACAGGCAAACGAACTGCACATGGATAAATTGGTGAGATTGCATTCCAATGATCCAATTCTGTTACTTTGCAGAGGCAAGTGGCATGTTCTCTGCTCCCATCATAACAGGACCACTGCTTCCAATCTCATTACTGAGTCAAAGGTGGATAAATCTCCAGGACCTGATCAAGCGTATCCCAGGATGTTCTGGGAAGTTAGGGAGGAAATTGCAGGGCCCCTAGCAGAAATATTTATATCATTAATAATCACGAGTGAGGTGTCAGAGAACTGAAGGGTGGCTAATGTTGTACCTTTATTTCAGAAAGGCTGTAAGGAGAAGCCTGGGAATTATAGATCTGAGAGTCTAGTGGCTAGTTGTTAGAGGTGATTCTGAAGGATGGGATTTACATGCGTTTGGAGAGACAAGGAATGATTACGCATGGTCAGCATGACATTTTGTGCGAGGGAAATAGTATCTCAAAAACTTGAGTTTTTTGAGCAAGTAACCAAAAAGATTCATGAGGGCAGAGCGGTAGACGTTGTTTATTTAGACTTTGATATAGCCTTAGACAAGGTTCCACATGGTAGGCCATTTAGTAAAGCCAGATAACATGGGTGTCAGGGTGAGCTTGCTAATTGGATACAAAATTGTCTTGATGGTAGGAGACAGAGGGTGGTGGTGGTGGAGGCTAGGAGACAGAGGGTGATGGTGGAGGGTTGTTTTTTGGACTGAAAGCCTGTGACCTGCCGTGTGCAGCAAGGATCGGTGCTGGGTCCACTTCGGTTTGTCATTTATATAAATGATTTGGATGAGAATGTAGGAGGCGTGGTTAGTAAATTTGTGGGTTACACCTACATTGGTTGGTATAGTGGACATTGAAGGTGGTTGTCTAAGATTACAAAGCGATCTTGATCAGTTGAGTCAATGGGCTGTGGAGTGGCAATAAAATTTAATTTGGATAAATGTGAGATATTGCATGTTGGTAATACAAACAAGGACAGGACTTATACAATTAATGGTAGGGCTCTGGGTAGTGTTGTAGAACAGAGAGACCTCGGGGTTCAGGTACATAATCCTTTGAAATTTGCAAAACAGGTAGATGGGGTGGTTAAGAAGGCATTTAGCATGCTTCCATCATTGCTCAGAACTTTGATTATAGAAGTTGGGACGACATGCTGAGGATGTACAGGATGTTGGTAAGGCCTCTTGTGGAGTACTGTGTGCAGTTCTGGTCACTCTGTTATAGGAAGGATACTATCAAACTGGACAAGGTTCAGAAAAGATTTACCAGAATGTTGCCAGGAAAGGAGGGTTTGAGTTATAAAAATAGGCTGGATACTTTCTCACTGGGGCAGAGGAGGTTGAGGGGTGACCTTATCGAGATTTATAAAATCATAGATATGCGGATAGGAAACATCTTTTCCCTAAGGTGTGGGAGTTCAAAACTAGGGAGCTTTTTTTTTTAACGTGAGAGGTGAAAGATTTAAAAAAGACATGAGAGGCAATGTGTTTTGAACACAGAGTGGTTTGTGTGTGGAATGAACTGCCAGAGAAAGTGGTGGATGCAGTTACAAAATTTAAAAGACATTTAGATAAGTACATGAAAAGGAAGAGTTTGGAGGGATATGGGCCAAATGCAGGCAGGTGGGACTAGTTTAGTTTGGGAACATGGTTGGATCATAGGGTCTGTTTCCGTGCTGTATGACTCTCAACAGTATCTTAAGAACTACATTCCTCCCTGATACAAATGCTAAAAATGCCACATTTCGCTGATTTAGATCTAATCAATGTCATGGTGCCCCCTTTGAGAGGCATCCTCCCTTAACATATTACTACTTTCCTGGTTAAAAACATTTCCTGAGCAGAAAATGGCTTCGCTGATTCCTGTCCTCCTCATGGGTTGCATTAGAAAGGTGTATTTAAAAGGTGTGCTCTGAAGGGTTGCCAGCCCTTGAGCTGCCTAGAACTTGTTCAGTTATTATTTATTTATCTCAGATTTAACATTATTTGTTAAAGCAAAGGTATCAAGGGACATGGGCAAGGATGCAGTCAGGGCACAGATCCGCCACAATGTCATTGAATAGTGGAACAGGCTCGAGGGGCTGAATGGCCTACTCCTGTTCCTATGATCTGAACTCTCCAGGAAACCTACAAAAGTACTATCTGAGAACTCCCATAATAGCCAGTATCCTGATGCTCTCCACAGCCAACATCAAGTCAGTCATTTTCACAGTAATCCAAATCGTCCACAATCACCAAATTCCAAGAAAGATTGTCATAAACCTCTGGTGTTGGTTTGATCACATTAGTTAGCAAATTAGTATTGAAGCAATAAGTGTTGGTGTGAGGAAAATGTACCGTTCTGATTCTTTAGCAATTAACAAGTATCCTCCCTAGGCCATTCCATGTGAGAAGCTTATAAAAAAAACCTTTATTCAAAGTCTTCCATTAATCATGACTATAACAATTCATTCCAGTATGGCAGGATCTGCAGGTGCTCTCACATTCATGGTTCCATTTTAACAACATAATAACCAATATAACTGGTTATCACAGGATGCTTCCTTCACCTACGGCACAAATATTTCTTGCTACCACCATTTCCCTTGACATCACATTTGATTTCTAAAGTCATTCTAATCCCCTTCACTTGCTTTTGATCATACTTTCCTTTTTCTTGCTTTAGGTGTAAAGCTTATTCTTTTCCACATACTAGTTGGATGGCAGCCACATTTGGTCAGTACTCTAGGTTGTCCCAGTACTGAATATCAGAGTTGGGTGAGATAGAATCATAGAGATATACAACACAAACAGATCCTTCAGTCCAACTTGTCCATGCCAACTAGATATTCTAAATTAATCCAGTCCCATTTGCAAGCATTTGGCTCATATCCCTTTAAACCCTTCCTATTCACGTATCCATCCAGATGCCTTTTAAATGTTGTAATTATACCAGCCTCCACCACCTCCTCTGGCAGCAAATTCCATATATGCATCAGCCTCAGTGTGGAAAAGTTGCTTCTTAGGTCCCTTTTAAATCTTGCCCCTCTCACCTTAACCTATGCCCTACAGTTTTGGATTCCTGTACCCGGGGGAAAAGACCTTGACTATTCACCCTATCCACACCCCTCATGATTTATAAACCTCTAATAAGGTCACCCTTCAGCCTCCAATGCTCCAGGGAAAACAGCCCCAGCCTAGTCAGACTCTTCCTATAGCTCAAGCCCTGCAGCCCTGACAACATCCTTGTAAATCTTTTCTGCAGCCTTTTAAGTTTCACAACATGTTTTCTACAGCAGGGAGACCAGAGCTGAATATGGTCTTCCAAAAGTGACCTAACCAATGCCCTGTACAGCTGCAATATGACCTCTCAATTCCTGCACTCAATGCACTTACCAATAAAGGCAAGTGTACCAAATGCCTTCTTCACTTTCCTGTCTACCTGTAACTCTACCTTCAAGGAACTATGAACCTGCATTCCAAGGTCTCTCTGTTTGGCAACACTCTACAGGGCCTTTAGCTGTTTTGAGGCTTCACATAAATCTAACCCGCACAAAAATTATGAAAAAAGTGTGTGTTAAAAAATGCCACACGCTGCTCATTTCTCCTTTAACTTTCTAAGTTGTTCATTCCTTGCTCTTAAGTAATCATTTGGAACACATGTATCTCATGTCAGTAAAAATCATGAGCAGGAATAGGCCGTCAGGCCTTTGAGACTTCTTGGCCACTTAAAAAGATGTGTCTGATTTAATTGTAATTTCAAATCCACATTCCTGCCCACTCCTGATACCCTTTCACCCCTTTGCCAACTCTACCTTAAAAGCATTTGAGGACTGTTCTCTCAGCACCTTTTCAGAAAGACAGTTCCAAAGTCTCGCGACTGTCCATGAAGCTATTTCACCTAATCTCTGGTTTAGTTGGTGACCCCCAATTATTAAATAGTGACCTCCACCCTCAGCTCTAAATTCTCTCAAAAGAGGAAAAATCCTCTCCGTATCTACCCTGTAAGGACCCCTCAGGACAATTAAACAATTCTGTTCTGAGCTGTCTGATAGTCTTTGTAATCATTAGTCTATTATACGTGAGTTTTAGTCGCATTGATATTTGAGAAGGGTTTATGAAAAATCAAAAAGTTTCCATCCTTTTCTTGATTTGTACCCAACCATACCAGCCTCTCATTCTCCAGTCTATTTTGCTTGGGTCAGCTGAGCGTCTGACTTTCATGAAAATTCCCATGTCTCCAGACCAAACCATTGAGAACAGCACACAGGCAGAGGTTTCTCTTACCTTGACTCTCTTCTCACAGGGACACAGGGTTCTCAACCAAGTGACCAGAGCGTTTACGCACCAGAACCAGCTTAGCATGCCCCGCGCTAAAGAAACGTTAGGTATCAGGCTTCAAGCCAAACTAATCAAGGAGAAGTTATTTGTAATACTGCTGGAAGTGTCAGATTCCAGGCATTTCTTTCCTTCCTTTTGGCCAAATTACCAGGGTTGGGGGAAGATGGGACAACTCGTTGTGATTCAGGTTTACAACAAAGATAACACAAACGCAATGGGCTGGATGGCCTCCTGCCGTGCCATTCCAGACTTATTTGATGCAAAATTGATAAGTGACAGGCAATAAATAAATGATAGATTCTCTTTTCTGGTACGAGTTTCTACAATACTGGAATTGCTAAACCTTCTGCAAAATTAATTTAAAATAAATTTTTATTGATCATCGACTCCTAAAAATACCCTCCTATATTTGATATCACAAGTCTAGGCTGAAAAACATCAGCTGGTCTTTGGCTTTCAAGTAATGCTTCATTTAAAACATTAGTCTATTTTGTTGATTGCATTTTATCAATGTAATGCACTGCTCTTATGACTCATAAACATTATTTGCATTCTATTTTAGTTATGCTTTTTAACAGGCCCTTTTATTTTAAAAATCAGTCGAGGATCTGGTCTGTGCTGGCTGGATCAGCATTTATTGTCCATCCCCCTTTGCCCTGGATGAGGTGGTGGTAAACTGCCACAGGGCATCTATTGCACCCACGATCACTACCATCTAGAAGGACGAGGTCAGATACATGGGAACACAACAAGCTGAAAAGTTTCCCTCCAAGCCACTCACCGCCCAGACTGGGAAATATACCGCCGTTCCTTTACTGTCACTGGGTCAAAATCCTGAAATTCCCTCCCTAACGGCATTGAGAGTCAACCTACAGCATGTGGACTGCAGCAGTTCAAGGAGGCAGCTCACCACCATCTTCTCAAGGGGCAACTAGAGACGGGCAATAAATGTTGACCAGCCAGCGACACCCATGTCCCATGAGTGAATAAAATAAAAGGCAGACCCACAACGCTGTTAGGGAGGGAGTCACAGAATTTTGACCCATAAATGTAAAATTTTAAATAAATGTTTTTAAAAAAACTTGGCAAATTCAAATTTTAATGGAATATCCTCAGCTTCACAAGTATAGCTGCACTCTATTACAACTACCTGCAGGTTGCATTTTTGAGGAAACCTGAAAAACAGCTTTTAAATGATGAAAAATTAACTCAATGTTTTTAAAAGGAGGACTGCCTTCTAAATGTTGCTCTAAAGAAAGGCTTTAAAAAGCTCCACAAGAATGTTGGAGTTCCAATGTCCTGGAGTTTCAGGTTTTAGAAACCTATACTTGTACAATGTGTAAGAAGTACACCGCTGTCAAGGTCGACAATTTGCACAGAACTCGAGGCAAAATAAGGAAAAGCTTTCTCTTGAACCAATTGAGTGATTATAATTTGGAACACACTGCCCGATAGGTCAGTAGAAACTGATTCAACAGCAATCTTCCAAGTGAAATTGGATAAATACTCAAACAAAAGAAAAATCAAATGCCAGTTAATGTGAGCAGACTGAGTATAAATCTCAAAAGACCCTTGCATAAACTTGGGACCAAATGGCCTCCTTCTGTGCTGTACTAGTCTACAGCTCTCTTATCATACTCTTACTAGAATCCAAAAGGTAATATTTACCATTCTTATAGGTTTCTGCATTAAATAACACAGAGATATACCTCAGGTTAGACCACAGTTAGAAATCTGTGCACAGTTCTTCAACATAGACAGTGGGCTGTGTAGATTTAGCAGCATGACATTTGTGATTGGGAGCCATAGCCATGGTATAGTCAGTCATTAAATCAGAGCATAATGAACAGACAATGCATTCCCACACAAATGTACAAATTAATATAATGACAAATACTCAGTCTGTCTGGTGGTCAAAGACAATCGCACAGGATATTCTCTATTAGAAATTAACTTACGTGTCAGATCACTGTTTCCATATGCTGTAAAACTCTGATGCAATTTTAAAAATCCAACACCATCTCACAGCACTATAAAGATTCCTTCACAATATGCAATCCTTACAAGGATTTTATAGTCTCATTCCAAAATAAGTTACACCTTTATGTATTAACTGTCCTTGCTACTAAGTATAATGAAGCAATTTCAGAATAGGCTGAAGAGCGTTCTGATAAATGAAAAAACAGGAACCATGAGAATGTTATATTAACACACACTGACACTCACATTTACACCAGTCCCTACAGGAATGTTACCTGTTGGTTTCCTTGAGTCCCAAGTATGCTTGGGTTATTTCACCTTGATCCTTCATTTTGCGTACATCCTCCAAGAGGACCATCGGGTCTGTCATTGTTTCCTGCAACAAGAATCCATTGAGTTTTCCAGCAATATTCATGGTGGGATTTCACTGCTGAACATAACATTTGCTATGACAGCAAATAATCAAAGCATTGAATAGGACAAACTTCAAGATGAAATGTTTTTACTAATGAGAAAGGAAAGAAACTACTAACATTTGATTTCTTCTGATGGGGACCAAGAAAGTGTTCACACAAAATTTAAATGGTAACAGTTAAGCTGGTCTTAAAAGGGTGTTGACTTTCATATGCATGCAGTTGCTGATTTGATGTTTCTGTGGTCTAAATGTATTTTTCCAGCCTCCAGATGAGTACCATAATGCAAAAGGAAGGTACAGGACACAATTGGAGTATTGTGCGCAGTTTTGGGCCCCATATCTCAAGGAGGATGTACTGGCCCTGGAGCAGGTTCAGAGAAGGTTCACTAGAATGGTCCCAGGAATGGAAAGCTTAACATATGAGGAACGTGTGAGGACTCTGGGTCTATACTCGATGGAGTTTAGAAGGATGAGGGGGAATCTAATTGAAACTTATGGAATACTGAATGGCCTGGGCAGAGTGGATGTTGGGAATATGCTTCCATTGGTAGGAGAGACTAGGACCCAAGGCCACAGCCTTAGAGGAAAGGGAAGACCTTTTAGAACGGAGATAAGGAGAAACTTCTTCAGCCATACAGTGGTGAATTTATGGAATTCACTGCCACAGAAGGCTGTGGGGGCCGGGTCATTGAGTACATTTAACACTGAGATAGATAGGTTCTTGATCATCAAGGGGATCAAGGGTTACAAGGAGAAAATGGGAAAATGGGTTTAAGAAACTTATCAGCCATGATTGAATGGTGGAGTGGATTCGATGGGCTGAATGGCCTAATTGCTGTTCCTATGTCTTATGGTCTTATGGTCTTATAAAGTCACCAAAGTCCCAAAGGACCATAGGGCTGCTCTCTGATTACAGAGAGATATGACTGGTGGTGAGTTTAACCCAAGGGTCACGATGCCTCAGGCAGGACCTTCACGGTAAGCTCAGCTATTATGGGAATTGAACCCACACTGTTGGGATCACACTGCATTGCAAACCAGCTTTCCAGCCAAATGAACTAACCAATCAAACACAGATTCCCACCAGGTCATTGAAGTCGAGCAAAAGAAGTTGGTGTTTTGACACATTCTTCAACAATTTTGCTGATACCAACTTTTAAAGGAAAATATTCTCATATTCCGAGTCCATTTTTCTGCAGAAGACGTGATGCATCAAAAAGGAGAATGGGGCTGGAAAACTGATGGACAGTCATTGTAATGTACAGACTTGGGCACCGGTGTCTAAAACTTGAGTAAGTAAAAACATTTAGCTAAAGTGTGTTTTCCATGTAGAACACTTAAACATACAGGTGTCAACATTGAGCATTTTCATAAACCTTAATACTTTATCAAATGCTAATTTTCCAAATTGGACTGATAACAATTTCAATCTTTTTAGGTATGCTTTACACCATTTCCTACGATACTGAAACCAGAGTTCATAAAGGCCTCTAAATCAATGTCACATTGCTCAATGTTTCCTCAAGTGACTTTTTTAAAAAATTCATTCATGGGATGTGGCTGGCTCCTGCATTTATTTCCCATTCCTAATTGCCCCCGAGAAGGTGGTGAGCTGCCTTTTTAACCACTGTAGTTCATTTGGTATGGGTAGACTGACAATGCTGTTAGGGAGAGAATTCCAGGATTTTGACCCAGTAAAACTGAAGGAATGGCAATATATTTCCAAATCATGATAGTGAGTGGCTTGGAGGCAAATCTGCAGGCAGTGGTGTTCCCCTGTATCTGCAGCCCTTGTCCTTCCAGATGGTAGTGGTTATAGGTTTGGAAGGGACCTTACTGAGTTGTTGCTGTGCATCTTGTGGAAGATGCACAATGCTATTATTGCACACTGGTAATGGTGGGAGTGAGAAACTGTGTTAGCGATGCCAATTGAGCTGTATTGATGATAATGGTGGAGTTGGGAATATGCCAGGCCATGAAGTTGCAGACTGTGCTGAAGGACAATTCTGCTGGCCAACAGCACCTTATGTATGCCAAGTCTTGAGTTGCTAGATCATCCCATTTAGTGCATTGACAGTGCCACACAACATGCTGGGTAGCCCTTTAGCTTTAGCTAAACAAGGAACTTTATCTCCACAAGGACTATGTGGTGGTCACTCTTACTGATTCTGTCATGGACAGATGCAACTGCAGGAGGCAGGCTGACGAGGTCGAGGCCATGTATATTTTTCCGCAGACCCAGTCTAACAGCTATGTCCTTTGGACTCAACCAGCTTGTTCAGTCGTGATGCTATTGAGCCACTCTTGGTCATAGACAATGAAATCCCCAACCAAGTGTATGTTCTGCACCCTTGCCACCCTCAGTGCTTCCTCCAAGTGTTGTTCAACATTGGAGAGCATGGCACACGGTAATCAGCAGGAAGTTTCCTTGCCTGTGTTTGATCTGATGCCTTGTCAGTTCATGGAGTTTGGAGTCAATATTGAGGACTCCCTCTAAACTGTACAGCCCTGTGGCACCACCTTTGCTGGGGCAACAGGACATAAACGGGGACGGTGATGCCTGGGCCATTGTACAGAAGGTGCGATTCCAAGAGTATGACAAGTCTGAGAGACAGCTCTCCCAGTTTTAACACTAGCCCTCAAGTGTTAGGGAGGAGGAAAGGAGGAAATCACTGGGTCGATGGGGCTGGGTTTGCAATCAACATTTTAGTGGTTTGATACAACTAAGTGGCTTGCTAGACCATTTCAGGAGGACAGTTAAGAGTCAATTGCATGGCTGTCTGGATCCACACGTAGGCCAGACCAGGCCCAGACCATGACCATGGTCTGTCAATTAATGTCCAGGGACAATGCCACTGCAGCGCCACCTTCCCTCACGTTCATAATTGCAGTTAACAAGAGGAGGAAAAATTCAGACACGATAGCTTCCCATAATCCGGCACACCGCACACGGATTGAGTGGAAGACGGGGAATGTTCTCATCTAACAGAACAGCCACCACGTGCGCAGCAGGAGCTTGGGTCCTGCTGTTGGTCTGCAGTTGCTACCAAAGGTGCGGTTGTTCTACGGGAACATCAATGAAACAAGTCTAATGCAAATTTCTGAGCTTTGCCCTCCCACCCCACACACATGAAGGGCAGACCTTTTCAACCCTTGAGCTTTACTCTAGCAGTGACAAAGACCACTCAGTCAACTTCAGGTAGACCTTTAAATGGTGCAGTGTGTCAAACAGGAGGATTACCAAGAACAGAGATAACACTTCCAAATGAAAACAAGAAGCAATGCAGATGAACCTCTCAGCTGTAACCTCTGGATCATTCTAGGAGCACCCTGACCACGCGGTAAAATGGGGTGGGGTGGGGGGTGGGGGTTTGCAAACCCACCCAGCACCTCAACCTGAGGAACAGCAATGAAGCACGGTCAATAAACACTTCACTTTCAGTAATGGGCCCTTCCCAAAAATGTCAGGAGATGTAAAAAATAAAGTCAGATTAGCTTTCTGGAAAACAACACAGCATCCAGAACAGAAAGATATGCAGAACATTTACCTTGCTTTCCTAAGTTTGAATGCGGAATTCAGAGGAAGAATACAAAACAGGTTGTTAGTAACTTTAAGGCATTACTAGGACAGTAATATGACCCAAACATTGACTAAAGAACATAACTGCACTGCTACAGGACATTTTTCTTTTCATATTGATTTAAAATAAACAAATTAAATATATATGCAAATCATTTAAATGCTGACCAATATTTAGTGTGTGGTACATCAGCCTTACCTTATGTGCCATAGCTTCCTTTTGACTGACCAGTTGGGACCGCAAAATGAGAACTTCCTCTTTACGGACCTCCAACTCTTCACTTGATGCAGTCAACTGGTCAAGTAGGACTTTGTATGCAGGAGACCCAGGGGCTGTAACATGTGGGGAGGCCTTCTCATTCAGGGCTCTGTGCAGTTCATTGAGTTCATTCTTTAGCTTCTTATTCTCAGACTCTAGTTCTTGCCTCTGTGGAATAAAACATGGAATAACGAATAAAAAAACTAAGTTCATCACAAAACTGAACTCATGAAAGTTGAGTTACGCCATTTCCTGAACCTTAATATTCTTATTCAGTCAGGGGAAACAATTCTTCAAAGCTCATTTGCCTCCAAGACAAAGTATTGTATAGGTTTATATCAGCAGCAAATGTGGTAGTGGGGTGGGTGTTTTGACAGGTAAACAAGTCTGTGTATAGAGAATGTCTAAAAGTTCTCTAAGAGGGAGTTTCAAAGACACTTTCACTTTATGTGGAATAACGTTGCTCTAATTGTAATAAATCCGGCATAACATCTAAGAGACGAGATTGTACCTGATCTAATTTCATTGTTAAGAAAAACGATATAAATTGTTGTTCCCTTTCTAAAGTTAGTCTTCTTGTATTTCTTTCTTGAGTGCAAGATGAAAGGCTTCCAATTCATGTCTCTATTTCACAATGGTTAAGTTAATAGATCAGGAAAAAACTGCGATTGACACTGTGCTCACTTGCTATTACAGAAATTCTTTGGCCTGGATTTTGTCATCTGAAAAAAAAGTGACAGCACCTGCTATTGGCCTCAAAGAAACTGGCCCACAAATATCAGCAATCTCTATGGCAATGTTAATTTCATTTTGCTGCCAGTTACAGGGGATCACTAGCATCCAGTCACATCAAGCAGATTGAGTAACAATCTGCTTGAGTAACATAGGCAGTACATCAGGATGTAAAATGTACAAATAATCGTTCATCTTTTTCACATCGCTGCGTTCCTGCTCTACAGGGTCACGTTGCAGACAAACAGAATGTAGACTCCAATTTTGGGATTGTAAGACCAATGAGACTTTAAGCGTTTACTGTCATTACAATGGTGAAACCGACAGTAACTTCTGGCATTCCCACATGCTGTCAAACACAAAAATTGTTGACAGCGATTCGCAGTGCCTCCACACAGTGTACCATGGGCATCCCTGCAGATGGAAATCATTTGAAATCACTGATTTAATACAAACTTCAAATTTACAATTACCAGTGATCACACACTTGGTGAGTGTCCTGGAGCGGCATTATGCTATCTGTGATGCTGCATAATGGCTCAGTTCTTCTGAAGGTTGTAGAAACGGCTTGACTAAACTCCATACTGCAGAGCCAGGCACAGGGAGTAACGTATTGAGGCTTTATGTGAAATCTCTCTCTACACCCCTGGATTTTAGCTCAATCTCTCTGTTGATAGATACTTTGAACATCCAAAGGATTTCAAGGGAATTTGGGAATTGGGAATGTGGATCAGGCATCACCTTGTTGAATGGTAGGACAACTGGATGGGCTCGATGGCCTACTCTTGTTTCTACTTCTTCTATCTGATTTGTTAAAAATATTTCAAGGGTTTCTATCCATTGGCTCTCATACCAAAAGCTTCAAAGAGAACCATTTCTTCATGAGCCACTGGCATCACTGTAGTTTTCCAGTTCTGATACAGATGGAGCAGTGTCCCCCCTCCCTCACCCTCGCACTGAAGACCCCAGCCCAGGGAAGAACAGGAACAGATCAAACAGTAAGTGGCACCTTTACCTTGAGAGATTCGTACTCCAGCTCAGCTCCCCTGGCTTTAACTTGCTGATCTTCCGCTTCCTGGACACAACACAAACAGGATGTATTAGCTGACTGAGGCAGATGGAAGTGATGAGCCACAACTTTACAAATAAGATCTATTTTTTTTCTGGCTCATTACCCTTCCAAGATTAAATGCTGAAATGCTGGACTAGGATAGACCCTGGAAGTCTAAAACTAAATCACTCCCTCCCTCAAATTCACGTTCAATTTGACCTAGAGGGCCAAACATTATCTCTACAATGTGAGCAGTCAAAGTCCCCAGAATTTACCCGCTTGGATTCCACTCTCTACTCTTTTGACCAGACGGCAATGACACCTAACTGACATCATCAGGCCCCAACCACAATCTGAACTCCCACCTCAAACGGACGAGGCTTTGCAGGAGCTCCAACCGGTTGGCAACAATGAGAGGAGATGTCAGGTCAGCTGTGCCAACTCCTCGTTTGGAGCCCATCTGGAGAGCTGCCTTCAGTTATTGGCGCTGTGTTACGGGGAGTACACAGCAGCCTTGAAATCAGGAAGCACACCGCCACACGAAGCCTGAAGGTAAACTGGAATTTTCTCATCCGAGAGGCCCACGACCCTCCAACAATTGATCTAATTCAAGATTGTGGCTGATAGATTTTAATTGAGTCAGGATATCGAGGGATACAGAGGAGGGTAGGTAAGTAAAACTGAGGTGGGCCCATTATCTAACTGAATAATGGGAACAAAGCGATTCAAGGGACAAAATGGCCAGCTCCTGTCCCTATATAGGAGAAGTTCCAGATAACGATAAGGGGCATGAAAATCAAATCAGTTTTCCTGTGAAAAGGGGATATATTTGCACCTATTTTAAAAAAACTCAGAATAACCAACAATAGAGCATATCACAATAAACCAAGGGCCTGAAATGTAGTAAGGGACATTAATTAAACTCCAAGAATATCGACCATGTACAATTCTACATTATCCCAAATAAACATGTGTGAGAATGGGCCAGATGGCCTACTTGTGTTGTGTATCCTACGTGAAAAGCACTAAATCGATTCAAAAGAGTAGTTTTTGTGATAATCCTTCAATGCCATTTCAAAGAGCCAGCAGATGAATAATGGAGTGAATGGCCTCCTTGTGCCAATGTGGATTCATCATCATTCAACCTTTACAGCTCAGTGACTGAGACAGATCCTAGTCAGAGTTTCCTAAATGGTCAGCTTAGCGCTGGGCATCACCTTTGCTTTACTTCTTAATGCTTGATCCTCCTTCCGATCCAGTTCTTCCTGTAAGCCCTGTTTCTCCTGTTCCAGTTCAGTCACACGCTTCTGTAGTTTCAGGAACAGGGACATATCCAGAGCACCTTTCTGTTCTGGAAGCTCCTATTGCAAACAGAACAATTATTAATACAGTAATTAAACTGCCCACCTAACCCTCTCTGTGCACTGGGACAACACTGATAAAAGTTATCCTGAATTTACTCAGGGTTACCAACAGTGAATGAACAGAAATACAGAGAGGATTTGGAACTTCAAATCTTCAGGTTTACTTTCTCATTAGAGAGTCAGAGAGAATCAAAATAAATCCGATAAGTGGATTATCTGGATCCATCATACAATCTGCCATCCGGAACCGTTCAAATTAACACAAAAATTCTAAGGCTTTAAGTTAAAAGATAACACACAGTGTTTCTACTGGCTAATTTGGACACAACTTCATGTGACTTTTCACAAAACATTTTGCTGTTGACCCGATGCCCAATAGAGGATGAAATTCAGACCTTTCTGCTCAATAATTCTGAAAGACCCTAGACGTGATTTCGAAAAGAAATTGCATGGTCCCTCGAGGAGATTACCATGCAATGGAACTGACTGGATTGCTCTGCAGAGAGCTTGATGGGCTGGATGGCCTCTTTCTGTGCAGTAATGATTCTGAGTTACCCTATATTTGTGACCAAGTGTTTCTTTAATGATTTGCTCCCATTCCAGAAGGAAACTGTAAATTCTTTACGGCATTTTGCATTGAACAGTGGGTGCCAACTCCAAAACCAACAACTCACAATTACCCGCCATGCTGGTGTTGGTAGAGGTTGCTTCTTTCAGATTTGTCCCTTCAGCCATCAGTAAGCTAGACATGAGACAGATACAGTTCTTAGGAGAAAGTTGGAACTGAGCTGAATGATCTCATTGAAACATGTAGGATTCTTAAGGGGCTTGACAAAATAAATGCTGAGAGGATGTTTCCCCTCATGGGAGATTCCTCTAGGAGCAGAGAACATAGCCTCAGAATACAGGGATACAATTTAAGTCTGAGATGAGGAGGAATTTATTCTCTCAGAGTGTAGAGAGTTGTGGGGGCAGAATCCTTATGTATATTTAAGGCTGAGATAGATAGATTGTTGATCATTGGGGGAAATCAAGGGTCAGAGGGAAAGGGCAGGAAAGTGAACGTGAGGAATGTCAGATTAGCCGTGGTCCTATTGAATGGCAGTGCAGGCTCAAAAGAGCCAAATGGTCTATTCCTGCTCCCATTTTCAATGCTTATTTGGCAAAGTGCCCAATAGGAAGCGACTGTGTCCCAGTGGACTTTCTGCTTTCCATCGTGAGGCTGAGATGGAAGAATGTCAATGATGATAATGATGGACTGAATTCAAACATTTTAGAATGTAACCTCGCCTCACACCTCCCCATTTTGTTTACTTTCTCTTTGTACATCTGGACCATCTCTTTTGCTTTATACAGAAGCTATTCACAATGCTGCCATTCACACCTCTTCTAGACAGATCCTTCGTCTCTTATCTAGTTCCATTAGCACTCCATCTGCTTTACACCATTCCAACTTTTGTCATCTAATCTCTTCAGTTCTCCACTCACTTCCATTTTGTACTTTGTCTCCCCGCAGCGCCCCCCCCCCCCCCCCCCCACACTGTCCCCTCTCTTTCTTTCACCTTTCTAACTTTTTTCAGTTCTCATAAACGATCACGAGCCTGGAATATTAACTCCCTTCCCTGCCCACAGATACCAGCAGACATGTTACATAGCGTTACAGAGTTCTACTCTTCTGAACTGTCCACCAGTCAGTTTTAAATTTGCCTTGCACTGATTGGTGGTGGGTACCTGGTTGTGTGTTTCTGATTAAACAGTGGAGGAAGGTTTGGCACCAACCTCTGGTCTTCGTGTCCCATCCTCAGGTTCTCCCGGCTCGGAGGAAAGCAGGGAATTGTAGGTGTACTCCGACTCATTACTACTGTGTGTAGAATCTGTCCTTCTGTGACCAGGCTTCGACACATTCTGTAAATGAATGGGCACAACCTCCATGGAGTTACTTCAATCTAACCACAGCCAGATCAGATCAAACTCACTCCATCCATACAGAGCTTGGTTACAAACCACGTGAAATAATATTGTAGATGCAATAAAATAAGAATAAAATAATATTGGAAATTTTGTAAGCTATTTGTACAAACCATACAAGTCATTTCTATGTGCAGGTTATAATTACATATGTTAGCACTGTATACAATGCAATTAATTTCATACCAATTTTTTTTGAGAAGTGATCTTATCCAATACTAATGAAGAATTATATACATTCTCTCCTCACAGATTAACAATAAGGATTAAAATTAAGTGTTGGTTACTTATGCATGTATTGTGTTGACAAGAAAATAACAAGCCAATTATTCAGAGATAGTAGGAACTGCCGATGCTGGAGAATCTGAGATAACAAGGTGTAGAGCTGGATGAACACAGCAGGCCAAGCAGCATCTGAGGAGCAGGAAAGCTGACGTTTCGGGTCTGGACCCTTCTTCAGAAAAGCCAATTATTCTGTGGCTTGTGGATGGGGCATTAGTTGTATATCAATTGTGGTTAACAATATGTAAATTAAGGCCTTTAAGTGAGTCGGTACTTAGTCACATAGAAAGGTGCTTTTGCTGTAATGTGTTGCGTGTTAGTGTCCATACCTCTGAGCTAGGAGGCCCGGGTTCAAATCCAACCTGCTCAGGAGCTGTGTAATAACATCTCTGAACAGGTTGATGAGAAAACCGACTTGGCCACATAAAAGGGGCTCTGTGGTGCAGTGATGGACAGGTGAAGGGGAGCAGGAAACAGCTTGGGGAGGACAGAGAAACAAAGCAGGTTTAAAAGCAGCAAAGGGAATAGGTAAAGCTGTAGACAAGAGCTTGATGTCTGAGATAAGAGCTGATAGCGATGTGGAAAGTGAAAAGGATTTGCCACTTCAGAAGGTTGTAGAAACAAATTTGAATATAATGACGGGGGAGATGGGAACCCGAACAGTTGGAATGCAGGACGTTGTGGAAGAGGCTGGTTGTTTAGGGAGGGGTCACGCTGGGAGGCTGAGGAACAGCATTTCAGGAGTAAAGCTCTGAATGGAATACTCATAAGTAAATTTGATTTTGTAAAGTGAAAATATATTCAAGACACTTACAACCAAAGATATTTCTTCCTTCAGGTTATCGTAACGTTCCTCCAATCGGCAGAACTCATTAAGGAGAGACTGGTATCTGGACCTCTCATCATTGAGGTCTACCTGAAGCTGTTTGGTCTCTTCCTCCATTCTCTTCTCCATTGATTCTGCAAACAGATCCAAGGTCAGTATTACCAAACCAGAAGCTGAAAATATCTTCTTTCTGATACAATGACACAGGTATGATTGATAAACTCAAGGTTCCAACACTTCACTATTTGATATTGACAGGGCCCCCATGTTATACTGTTAAGAGGAATAGAAAGTGTGACCCTCCAGGAGCTATTGCATGGGGCAGTGCCTTAATGCAGGGTGCCAAAGGTATCAAATTACATACTGCAGACAACATATAGTAAGCTTCACAGTTTGGTTGTACTGCCCTGAGAGAGGTGAAAGGCTGACTGCTGAAACAATCACGGTAATCTGACCTTCACATCTCACTAAGCAGCCAGTTCAAGAAAACAACTGGCAAATGCTCAGGTACACACATCACTTCTCAGCTGTACTGAAATTGCTTTTGAAAGTAATGAAACAAACAGATTTCCAGCATCTGCCGCATTTTGCTTTTAGTTACATTAATGAATTGGTGTGTTTTAAATAAGGACTCATCAAGGTGTTTTGACCAACAAGATTATGTACCAGGCACTAGAAAGTAATGTTTAGAAATTGTACCATTATTGAAAAGAACTTACGCACCTTTTTTGACAGTTAAACGGTGAATTTCTTTTTGAAATGGATAGGTTGAGACTAACTATCCACATCTCAACATCGGTAGGATATGGTGACAAGCTGCAGGATAAAGTTAGCACCCACGGCAGGACACTCAGTACTCCCAGGGGAGGCCAGTTATAAAAGCCCTAGGGCTTGGCAGCAGGTGGTCCAAGGGGCACAATCCTGGGCTAGTTCCTTCAGTAATGATCAGGTCAGTCAATCACAAGGTCAAAGGTGGCAGTGGGAGTTTATGGCGGTGAGATTCCCGAGGTGAAAATCTTGCTGCACTCGTCATAAAATACAGCTTACGATGCTGTCCTCTATTTTTGTTTTAAATTACAATAATTCCTAAAACACAATGCTCTCATATGGTTAGTTTATGATTTATCATTGACGTTCCCCCTTGAAGTATACTGTCTTGATAAATCTATAACTTGAAGATCCTGGAGCTACCCACTTTAAGCTCCTCTGCCTGGCCAGGCTGAACGTCACCCTCAGCAGAGAGATGGAAATGATACCTGTTATCTCTTTGGCTTGTTCCTGAATTTGACGATTCAGATCCTCTTTCTCATTCTTCAGCAAAGTGTTCTGCTCCTTAAGCTGGGACACCATCTGTGAGGAAGGATATGAAAGGACAATCTTAATTGTTTCGCTTTTCTTCACAATGCCACATGACTACCTTCATATTCCCCAGTCAATCCTGCAACCCCAACATTTGTCATTGTCCTGGACTGCCACGTAGAGTATATTAATCTCACACTAGGAAAAATGGAGACCAATTCAGCAGCTGTATCCGAAACTAATATAATTTTCTCCAGGCAAACTAGGTCACCTAGAGAACCTGGTGTTTGGATAATGAATTAAGAAAAATTACCTTCCAACATTTAATATGAAATTGATTTTCTTTTTAGAAGATAGTTTAAACGTCCTATGCAACTTGAAGAACTGAAGATGTAGGCCATTCTCACCAGCTCGGTTTCCTCTTTGTATTTCTCTGCTCCTTCCTCGAGGCGTTTTTTCTGAGCCTGAGTTTCCTTGAGTTCCTTGCGGAGAATGGTGATCTCCTCCAACAGGCTGGTTATCTTGTTCGAAGATACTTTGGCAATTTCTTCGTTTGCACGCAGTCGGTCCACCTCCATCCGCAACTTCTCCGTATCGGTAGTGTAAGTGGCCTCCAAATTGCTCAATTTCTCCAGCAGCGACTTCATCTCTTTTGTCTACATTGACAGAGAGAGAGAGAGAACGAGAGAGAGAGAGAGAGAGAGAGAGAGAGAACGAGAGAAAGATCAGGTTGGCAGTCAGTAGCCCTGTGAGACAGCAACACGAATCCAAAAGGTCACCATTTGAGTAGAGACATAGTCCTGAATGGGCTAAACCACAGAATTGGCTCACTGAGGCCATAAACGAAAAGGACTATTCTTATCTATCAGAAAAAAAATGATGAGAGATCTTTTAAAATAGAATATACAATATACACACATGCACGTTACGTAGTTAATTTACCATTGCAGTCTGTTACAGGGCAGCACAGTGTCTCAGTGGTTAGCACTGCTGCCTCTCAGCACCAGGGACCCAGGTTCGATTCTACCCTCGGGCAACTGTCTGTGTGGAGCTTTCAACATCTCCCCATGGGTTTCCTCCAGGTTCTCCAGTTTCGTCCCACAGTCCAAAGATGTGCAGGTTAGGTGGATTGGCCGTGCTACATTATCCATAGTGTGCAGGCTAGGTGGATTAGCCACGTAGATACAGGGATAAGTAGGGGCTCTGGGTGGGATGATCTTCGGAAGGATGGGGAAGACTTGACGGGCTGAATGGCCTCTTTCCACACTGTAGGGTTCCATAGTCATGAATCTGTAGAGTTTGGAGGGGTGGGTAGTATTGCTACATTACTTACCAGAGGCCCAAAGCCCTAAGACAAGAGTTCAAATCCCACTACAGAGCTGGGAGAGTTTAAAGGTAATTCTTAAAAATGCCCTTCTCATTATAAATGATTAAATTACCCATTCTCGTGAAAAGCTATCTGGTTCACTAATGTCCTTCAGGGAAGGAGATCTACCATCCTCACTTGGTCTGGTCAATACGTGACTCCAGACCACAGTAATGTGGCTAACTCTTAGCTGCCTTCTGAAATGGCCCAACAAGCCACTCAGTTGAGGGCAATTAGCAACAAGGAATAAATGTTAACCTGGTTATCAATGCACACATCCAGTGAAGTGGTATAAGAAATGCTCTTCTATTTATCTCACAAACAAGCATAGACAGTCCAATAGAATGAAGAAGAGCTGGCCGCCGCTCTACATGGGAGTTCTCCAGCTTTACAATGGGAACCGGGGGACTGGCGGGCGATGCACACTGTCCTGTCCAACAGGATGTTAAAGATGCTTCATGGACTCCCAGTCCAACTGTTTACTTTGCAGTGCTGTGGGGACCATGGACCATGTGTATGTTGGTTGTGGGCTCTGTATAATTTTCTCAGGATCCTTCCATTGTGCTTTTGGATGCACTTCAGTCCCACCCTCCTGAGCTGTGGGCGTTCGGGACAAAGTAGGTGAATAGGTCAGAGAGTGGCCTCAGACATGGCTAAAGTCGCCATCAACAGGTCCAGGCAGGAGATGGTGGCCTGACCTCCTGCCCCGTTTCCACGGCTACTTTTGTGCCTGGATGTCCTTGGAGTTGGAGCAGGAGCAGAGGGTGCCCACCAACATCCTTGAGGCACTTAGAGAGAGGTGGGTACCACAGGACCTGTGGTGTATTACCTCCTCCTTGAACATTATTTTGATTTAGTTCCTCCCCTTGTATCCCCACCTTTTTGTTATTGTCACACTGCCTCTGGAGGGCAGTTCTTCTAATTTGTTAATTATATCATTTGTCAAGTGGGCAATTCATTAATTTGGTAATTGTATCATTAGTAGAGTGGGTGATTTGTTGGTGGCTTATGTCAAAAAAAAAGAGCTGGCAATACAATTTCTGCTAAAATACATATTGTACTTAATCCACTACCTCACGCTCCCTCAACTCTCCAAATTTTCTTCCCTCCTCTTTTAAAAAGATCAACTCCATCACTAGAATATACTCCCACCAACTGCAATCACTCTTTCAGTACCTTGGCCCTCATGACCATTTTTCAGCAACAAGCTTCAACATAGACGGTGCCCTGGCACTCAAAATGCAACAGCATCACAGCCAAGGCTGAGTCCATCCTCACCCAGAATCCATACACTTCCAGCAGAGGTCAGGGCTGGCAATGTTTGTAGTAACTCTCCGGCAGCCAGTGCCCGATAAGGTCGGGTTAACTCAGCAGCAATAACTTGTACAAGTAACCACAGCATGGAATAATATCCCGGCAGATGAAATGAGACAGGGAGACTGGTGCCTGTGTACTGTTTTCTGGTAGAGAAGGAACCTACAGTACAGGTTGAGCCTTTCCCACTGCGTTGTACAATATACAGCTACAGACTGACACTGTACCATAACTGAGGCTACATTGCATGGATGTGACTTTGATGAAAAAAGAAAATCAGACATTGCACAACTGGTGAGAGTAGTGTCATTGGTCCATCAGAGGAAACCTCCAATGGAGTGAAGAAATATTAGGGTTACCTGGTCATTGACTTTGCATTGCAGCTGCACAATCTTGTTCTCCATGCCAATGTTAAGGGTCTTGTAGTGCTCTACAGATCTCGCTTCAATCTTCAGTTTCTTAAGCTCGCGCTTTGCCATCATGCGGCGATAGCAACATTGCAGGTAGACGACAGCGTGCTGGATCCTCTTGTACTTGCGTTTCGCCATCCAGCCACGTGCGTGCTTCTGAAGGATGATAGCTTTCTGTTCCCGGAGGATCTATTTGCATTTTAAATAAGAAATAAAGGTTTTAAAGATTTAAACGGTATTAGCAAAGGCTTTATATTGCCTATCTATAAGAAAAGGTACTGGCATCGGATCTGATCCTGAAATGAATAAATCATCTTGAAATTTGTGTTTCCTGATCTCCTCCACAGATTCTTCTTTAAATCCACAGAATTATTTTGAGATGCAGTTGCATCAGCAATTGCAGCAGCTTGTGTCACATAAATGAATAGTTCACCTCTTGTCAGCCATGGCGATGGGAATATGACACCAGTTGTAATACCAGGGGAAATTATATTTTTGAACAGCGTCATGTTCTCTTGCTTTGTATCATTAAAAAGACAGTGTCTTTTAACAGGGCAGCTCAACCTCTGCTTTGATGTAAAAGGCAGCCACTCAGGTGCTGAATTGTGGACCGAACCGACCACCTCTAACTTGAGAGGTGAGCACACTACCAATTGAGCCAGGCTGAGATCAAAAATGTCTAAATGATTTCATTCATTTAATGCACAACCTCAAAGAATTCACAATTACAGAGGCAACAACTGTAATGCTGCTTGTCACATTTTAATTGTAAGCGATTGAGGTATAATTGTGTCCTACATTAACTGGAACGCCTATCGAGTGCAATATTCATTTAGGAGTCTGTCCCTGTCTGCGTACACATGGCTGCCTGCCTCTCTTCAGAAATTTCTGAAGAAGGGTCTAGGCCCGAAACGTCAGTCTTCCAGCTCCTCTGATGCTGCTTGGCCTGCTGTGTTCATCCAGCTCTACATCTTGCTATCTCAGATTCTCCAGCATCTGCAGTTCCTACTATCTCCGAAACATTGTACTTTGTGTCTGTTTTTGAGGTTCAGGCTGAAGTGTAATACTGGGGAGATTTACTCTGCTTGTTACCATATGGCAATGCAATGTCTGGAAAACTCATTTTATTCACCAACGCTATCAACCTTTATTTTGACACCTGAGTTTATAACAATGAAAACAAAATTAATATGGTTCCTATATAAAATTTATGCACACTATTTCGACAAGTTTGTAATGACAGCACATCATTATAGAAGCTGTATACACTCAACTCTTGGCCAGTACTTTCTGGACATTGTTCTAAACCTCCAAAGCATATGGATGAATGGAATTATTAAAGCAGTTACTTACTGCTCGGTACTGTCGCCTTCCATGAAAGCCTCTCACGAATGACTGGATAACAATGGTTGCTGACTGGATCCGTCGGAAATTTTTCCGAGCAGCACACATTCGCTGGTATTTCTGGATGATGATTGCTGCTCTGGTTCTGCGGAGGAACTGAGCATAGCTGGAACATGACAAAAAACCCCACCGTTATCCAAAATCATCCAGGAGGAAGACATCCTGCAGGCATCAGCCTGACAACGGATGTTAAATCTTTTCAGTAGTGGAGGACGGGTGAATAATGGCCAGGTCATTAATTAGCCACCTCACTGCTCTTCTTTGAAAAGTGGCCAGAGTTCTCTCGATAACCACTCAAGAGGCAGGTGGCATCACATCTCAGGGAAGTGACAGCATCCCCGACATTGCAGCACTCCCTCAGTACTTCCCCGAGAAGTGCTTGAATGTACAATGTCCCGACTCCGACTGACCTCAACTCTTCACAATACAATCAATATCACTAGCATCACAACATTGTGGATTTAAAGCAACGAGCACTCTTTGCTCCTGCAAACATTTGAAGTATTGAGCAGCTGAGGACGAGGAGGAATATTTTTCGCTTTAGTCCCCTGTATTCATTAAGTCAATTTGGAAAGAAAGAACCATGTCGAAATCAAGGACAATTGCTCATGCCTTACACAGATTCAAATTGCCATGCTCACTTGCCAAGAACCACCAACGCTGTAAAATACCCAAACTGAAACACCAGATCGTTAGCAATTGTTAAGAGCAGGTTTGTTCTACATGCTTAATGAGTAATGTTACTGTGTTGTATGAATTAACAAAGGAAAATCCTGAGACAGTAGAAAAGAATAAACAATAAAATGTCATTCATATCTCATCAATAAATAATTTAAACATGTATCAAATATTTTTCCCTTGAGATTCCTTCTCCAATCAAGGAATGTCCCTGCTCCGAGTATCTATCTGGTGCTCAAAGTTCACCTGGACTGATTCATGTTCCAATATTGCTCCATTGCTCAGCAGCAGCTCGGGCAAGATGTAGGGCAGCCTGGTGGCTCAATGGTTAGCACTGCTGCCTCACAACACCAGGGACCCGGGTTCGATTCCACCCTCGGGCGACTGTCTGTGTGGAGTTTGCACATTCTCCCTGTGTTTGTGTGGGTTTCCTCCCACAGTCCAAAGATGTGCAGGTTGGGTGGATTGGCCATGCTAAACTGCCCATAGTGCCTCACACAGGAATGTGTAGATTAGGTGGGTTATGCAGGATGGGTCTGGGTGGGATGCTCTGAGGGTCGGTGTGGACTTGTTGGCTGTTTCCACACCGTAGGGATTCTATGATGAAGAACTTCATTCTTAGGAGGGAAAACCTACAATCACCTGTCAGTCTGGTTGAAGAGGCAGTGCCAACATACTGCTGCACAAGTATAGGTTTGCACCGAGAGATAACCAATTGATTTGGAAAACATCATACCATCTGGCTTGATAGCCCCGCACATATCGCTGAATTGTAATCGCGGCGTTTCGCATGCGGAGATACTTCTTCCGCTGCAGCCAGCTCCGAATAGTCTTCTGGATTCTGATACAAGCAGCTCTGAGCTTGTCTGCTCGTAGCTTTTCCAGGTAAGCCACTTGCCCAGCACGGAAGAAAATCTTTGTTTTACCAAACTGGTACTTGTCTTTGTCCTAGACGATAAGCACAAAATCATTATAGTGTAACAACGGAGATAGGAATGCACCTACGCAAACAACAAAAAAAGCAATTATTCTGAATCTGCCGCTGGTGTGAATCTCTTATTTAACGGATGAGAAATTCAGATCTAAATGAGTCAGCAACAATATTTCAACAGTCTGAGTGGGTTGGGGTTAACAACATTGACTTCATGCAGCTTAGCCAGACAGCTTGGGAATTAAGTCAACTAGATCCTGTTACTTTCGGGTTTTGGGAATAAATGCTTCAAGTCCAGGTCTCAGTTAGGGGCGGCACAGTGGCTCAGTGGTTGGCACTGCTGCCTCACAGCACCAGGGGCCTGGGTTCGATTCCACCCTCGGGCAACTGTCTGTGCGGAGTTTGCACATTCTCCCCGTGTCTGCGTGGGTTTCCTCCGGGTGCTCCGGTTTCCTCCCACAGTCCAAAGATGTGCAGGCTAGGTAGATTGGCCATGGTAAATTGCCCATAGTGTTCAGGGATGTTTAGCATAGGTGGGTTAAAGGGGATGAGCCTAGATGGGAAGCTCCATGGATCAGTGTGGACTTGTTGGGCCGAAGGGCCTATTCCCACACTGTAGGGATTCTATTCTATCCTGGCCAAATACAGCAATTGCTAACTCGATCTCCAGTCAAAATGCTACAGGCACGTCACTAACAAAAAAGTGTGATATCTGTATTTTAAATTCCTAAACCATGCACCAAAAACTGATCTCAACAAAATATTTATTCAGGAAGGATTCATAAGTACAAGTAAATGACTGAAATTTGAAAGTATTTTGAGTTAATGATTGGAAACATATGATACGCTATTACAAAGCATTGATCTATTAGCTTTACAGACAGGCAGTCATTGTGACCATCTATTTATGGAAAAAGTCAGTTCAAAGATCTAGACTAAACAACAAGTCAAATATTACTGTCCGTTTAATAAAGTAGTTTTATTGTCACTGTTGCTATCATTGCTATTCCTAAATGTCAATATTTACCTTTGCAATCCCCCATGTGTACCAAATACAACTTGCAGCAAACCAATAATTCAAAATTCTTTCTAATGCCAGACTTTAAATGTCATTTTGCCGTGTATCTTCAAACCATGGTCACTGACATTTACTTAAATTAGAAAGGCAAAATTTGATGACTTACTAATTAAGTTAATACTGGGAGGACACTCAATGTAATTATAGCGCTATCATAAGTGTTATAGGCAGTAACAGTGACACGTTGAAGAAATGTACACTATACAAAAAGCTACCTACTACAGACTTTGCCTGTGTATAAACCAATGTATCATGGACTCCTGTGATTGTTACAGCAATTTTAAGATGATGATTATTAAAAGGACCTTCCAAACCTCCACCAGCTAGTAGGACAAGGGCAACACATGTATGGGAACACAACCAGGTTTTCCTCCAATCAAATAAATTATTAGATGAAAATGATGTGCAAGGGTATGTGGGAAAAGCAACAGATTGGCAAAGATGCTCATCTAATGAGCTGCTGCAGGCATGATGGACCAAATGGCCTCTGCATGCATTGTAACACTTCTGTGATTCTGTGCATGCACACACCAGCCACGGCCAGGAACCATAAATATCCTTCCTTTACTGTCTGTCGCTGGGTCAAAACCCTAGAAAATATTTCCTAACCTCTCGGAGAGTGTACCTTCAGTACATGGTCTGTAGCTTACTGCCACATTCAGAAGGGCAACTAATTGCTGGCAGTGAATCCTGACACTGCCTGCAAATGCTCACGTCCTATGGTCACATCAAACAGCACTTTAAAGGACAAGGGGGAGGCAATGGCCTGTTGGTATTATCGCTAGATTATTAATCCAGAAACTTAGCTAGCGTTCTGAGATCCCGATTCAAATCCTGTCATAGCAGATAGTGGAATTTGAATTCAATAAAAAAGAATCTGGAATTAAAGAATCTAGTGATTACTATGAATCCATTGTTGAAAAATCCCAGCTGGTTCACTAATGTCCTCCTTGATGTCATCCTTTCCTGGTCTGGCCTACATGTGACTCCAGACCCATAGTAAAGTTGTTAACTCATAACTGCCCTCTGGGCAATTAGGAATGGGCGATAAATGCTGGACTGATCAGAGATGTCCATATCACGAGTGAATTTAAAAAAAAACACATAGCCACCCCTTTGAGCAGATAGTGAAACATTTCTGTTTTTCTAAAATAGCCCCCAACTTTTATGGGAGATCCAGTTCAACAGTCTTAAACTCTTTTCCACTTCTTCTGTGCTCTCATACACATCATGAAGTTAACAAGCATTACTCGAGACTGAAGTAAGGTCACTGGACCTGAAACATTAACTCTGCTTTCTCTCCACAGATCCTACCAGACCTGCTGAGCTTTTCCAACAATTTCTGTCTTTGTTTCTAATTTTCAGCATCCGCAGTTCTTTGTTTTTCTTGACTTAAGACTGAAAACAATTTGCAGCTACAGATACCTCTTTGCTAATTCACTGCAACTGAAGTTACCCATTGATTACTTCAAACCACAAAGATATTCGGTGAGTAACATTTATAAAACTCCTTGTACACTGTCATCGCTACTTACTGATTGACAGACCTTAAACAAATTTTGAGTCCAATATTAACTCTGTGTATATGCATGCATTTAGATCAAGTTAAAATCTCGTCCCATGTTTCCTGAAACCTAACCCTGCAATCTTGTCATCTCTCTTTTTGCTGGATTTTGAATTCTGCTATTCCCAAATGGCACGGATTGGCCTTGTTGAATTTGGATTTCCCTCTTGAGGGAATCTCGTCCTGTCTCCTTTCCCTAAAAGTCAGATCTTGTTGGAAGTGCTGGAATCCTGTCTATCATTTTCAAAGGTCTACAGAGAGACCGTTACTCTGAGTTAATTTTGCCCGACCAGGTGAGGATGACAGATTTCTTTCCCTAAAAGGACATTAGTGAACCAGCTGGGGTTTTTCAACAATGGATTCATGGTCATCACTAGATACTTTAATTGCAGATTTGTTATTTTAAATTCAAATTCCACCATCTGCCATGGTGGGGTTTGAATTCAGGACCCCAGAACATTAGCTAAGTTTCTGGATTAATAGTCGAGCGATAATACCACTAGGCCATTGCCTACTACTTCTCGATTATTAATAAGACTATCAGAAGGAAGAATAACTATCCACGCTATATCGATTAACAAAGTGCTCAGACTACAGCAAGGATATGTTGTAGAGTCCCAGCGAGTGCACGTAGTGGTATCTCAGATTCTATTAGATTTTTTTTTAATACCAATGGATTTTTAGCGACATTTCCTAAGATTGGCCAGACGGTTTTTCAGTATAACTGGCCTCCACATCGGCTACTCACTCCTTTTTCATTCTCTCTTTCTCTCAATCACACAATGAATTTTAGCCCCAACACTCTGCGCACTGCTCTGCACCCTTCCACTGGAGCTGTATCACATTTCTTGCCCATTTTTGATGAGCCCACATTCCTGGAGTTAAATTTTGAAATGATCCAAGTCAGTGCCTTTACCTTCTGCCTTTACCGCAAACTCCATCTTTCTCTGTCGGAGATTCCACTCCCTACCAGGTCACGACCTCTGATTGAACAGATTGCTCACAACCAAAGCAACCTATTTAGCCAATTAAGCTTCTGACCCCAGGCCATCAACAATAACTTGCATTGATATGGTGCCTCTGATGCAGCAACACTGTCACAGTCACTTCTCAAAAGCATAATCAAGGCAGAAAATGAACTCAAGACTCAAAGAAGCGAAGGTTAGGGTAGAATATTAAAAGTATAGAGGAGGAGATGGAGGGCTTTAGGCAGGAAGTCAGAGAGAAAGAGAGTGAATCAGCTGAGGATACAGCCACTAACTGTGGCCTACCATAGGAAAGAGAAATGCAGTTATCTGGGAGAGCTGGGATACACCAATAGCGGGAGACAAGACCATGAAGGAACTCAAACACATTGGTAAGAATTTTAATTTGGAGGCTTTGGAGAGCCAAGAGGTCAGCAAGGACAGAAACGAGGGACAAGCATTAAGTTGAGTGAGATTCAAGTCCAATGTAAAAAGATATAAAAACGTTAGTTCTGTTTTTCTCTCTCCACAGATGCTGCCAGACCTGCTAAGTTTCTCCAGCACTTTGTCTTTTTTTTTCAGATTTCCAGCATCCACATTATTTGCTCTTGTTGCAATAGTTATGCCTGGGTGTGCCACGGTATGAATTAGTGATTCAGCTAGCACTGGACTTATATATCTGCAGAGACTGGCAACGTTACGAAGGTGGAAGGAGGTTTTATGGGCTGGAGAGAATTATGGAGATTGAGTTCAGTGTGGGCTCAGTGATTAGCACTAGTGCCCCTCAGAACCAGGGACCCAGGTTCAATTCCATCCTTGGATGACTGTGCAAACTCCACAGACAGACATTCTTCCCATGTCTGCATGGGTTTCCTCAGGGTGCTCCGGTTTCCTCCTACAGTCTAAAGATGTGCAGGCTAGGTGGGTTGGCCAGGGTAAATTGCCCATAGTTGTCCAGGGATGCGCAGGCTGGGTGGATTAGCCATGAGAAATGCAGGGTTGCAGGGATACGGTAGGGGGTTGGGTCTGGGTGGGATGCTCTCAGGAGGGTCAGTATGGACTTGAATGACCTGCTTCCACAATGTAGAGATTCTATGATTCTAAACAGAAGGCTGAGAACACAAACTATCTGGTGCAGCCTATAATAATATCCAGAAGTCAAGAGTCACCAGCACAGGTATGGAAACTAATCCCAGCTAGATTCTGTCAAGAGTCAGCACATAGATGAGGAAGAGAAGGGTCCCAAGGATAACTCCTTGAGACTCTCCAGGGGGTGTGGATGAAAATGGAATGATAAATTACTCCCCAAGTCAAAAATGCTGATAAAACGTAGTAGGTCACACAGCATCTGTGAACGGAGAAATAATCCTGGCGAAAGGAACCTGTATGCTCCCCTCCAAGCTGTACACCATCCTGACTTGGAAATATATCACCATACCTTCAATGTCGTTGTGTCAAAATCCTGGAACTCCCTCCCAAAAAGCTTCACAGGGCTACCTAAGCCAAATTGACAACAGCAGTTCAAGAAGGCAGCTCCCCACGACCTTCTCAAAGCAGCTAGGGATGGGCCATAAATACTGGCCCAGCCAGCAACACCCACATCCCACTATTGAATTGTAAGAAAATTGTAATACTCTCAAAGTCTTCCATCCTTCAGAAACTACAGTACATCCCAAACACTGCTGTCTACATCTTAGTCCTGACTCCACCATCATCATAATAAAGGCAAATATAGCAGATGCTGGCAATCTGAAATAAAAACAGAAAGAGCTGGGGAGGCTTTGCAGGTCTGACAATATGTATGGAGTGAAAATAAGACTTTTCTTCAGAGCTCGAACTTCAGAACTTTAACTTGAACACAAAACGTTTCAAGTCCAATATGATTCTCCTTCAGAACTAAAGTTCCAGTTCTGAAGAAAAGTCTTTCTGGAGTTGAACATTAATTCTTTTATTAACACACTAACACATTGCTGGGGCTGCCGAGTTCCTCCAGCATCTTCTGTTTCTATTCTATCATCACCCATACCTTCACTTACCGACCCTGGTCTCCAACACCTCAAATTTAAATTCTCAAACTCTCTCCATTACTTACCCTCTGCCAATCACCAAAACTAGCCTACATGACCCAAACTATCTATTTGATTCCCGTCCTGTGCATTGGCCACCAGAAGTGACCATGTCTTCAGCTCACCTGGGACCCAGGTGTGGAAATTCCTCCCTCAACCACAATCTGACACTTGGAGAAAAGCTACCAACTGTTGACCACCCCTTCCCAATATCCCCCCCGACCTTTGTCCGATTTCTGTTCCTACAACGCCTTGATGAAACACTTCCAAATATACTTCCCTGTTAAAAGCAAGATTTCAACGCAAGCTGCTGTTGGCATAATCACGTTAATGGAGACACGGTAAGAATAGACATGAGGATAAAGATTCGAGGGTGGTTTGTGCTTCATCCGTATCGCCTACCCAAAGTATTATGAACAGCTATTATTGTACACCAGTGAAAATATTAAGCCTGCATTGAGCATTTTTTCCCCCCAAATGAAACAGCAATTGTTTTATAAATTAGCGCAATTTAAATAAGCACCTTGATTAACTTTTCCAGGACATTTCTGCACGTCAGCTTTTTGTCACTGAGGACATCTTTCTGCTTCATCAGGACACGATAGCGGTTAAAGAATTCTTGATACGTCCATCTGAAAAATCCACAAACTCAAATAAATCAAAGCAAATCGCCAAATTTAAATCTGCAGTAAAAATGCAGAGAATGTAAAACATGAAAATAAAGAGATAAAAAGATGACTTAAAGCAAAGTGGATTACAGAACATTTCATATGATGACACAGTGGGACTTCCACATTTCCTCTTACACTGTGCACATTACCTTGATGGGAAGCCAGCAGCACTTATCCTAATGGTTTCGAGTACGCCACAAGCTCGAAGCTGCTGTACAGCTCGTTTTGGATCGAACCTACAAAGACAAGTACATGTCAAGGTCTTCTCATAGGTGTGAATGCAAAATGATCAAGTGGACCAGATTCTAAACTGAAGCAAGTCCTGTAATCCTACCCTAGCCCTGCTCACCTCTAGCCTGGGATCCACCAAAAAACGCCAAGCCTGGAGTAGCTGTCATACCAGCAGCAGCCACCATCTCCCTAATGGCGCTGCTGTTCCACAGTCCCACTTACAGCTCTCTGAGATGGGGGGTGGCATCATTATCCCCATCAGAGGCCCATTAACTGACCAAGATGCAGCCAGCCTTTGTGAAAAAGGGGCAGTGCAGGGCCGCAACCCAGGAGTCTGCCCAATAATCCGTATTTAACCCCCATTACCACAATGGAAGAATACAATAATCAAAACAATACTGTGCACCAAGACAGTAAACAATGAAGTGGTAGCATTCAGAGGCAAAATTAACCTGGTCCTGTTTGTATTCAGCACTACATCTCATGCAAGCTTCCACTGTACATAGATTCCCTCTGTCGGGATTCAGAGCAACTGCAGTCAATTCAAGGCCAAACTTCACCAGCAGCACACTTTTGAAGATAAAACACTTTAATGTCAAGTGTGTCTTAAAAAGATTAAATTCTCAGTGGGTGGACAAAATCTCTCTTAAGCTCATTTGCCTTATCCAGTTCAGAGTGATTCAGGCCCAAAAAGCAAACCTGGTTCTCATCTGTCAACAGCAACCATAGCAACAAGCTCAGAGTCACATCATCTGATGGTTCAAACTCTTTCTTATAACCTTTTGATGGGAGAAACTAACGGTTCAGTGTGAGGATTTCAAGAGTGAAAGCTTTCAATTAATCAACTTCCTCCCATACTGCGCAACTGGCAAAATTTATAAGATTACAATGGAGACATCTTAAAAGCAATGTATCATTACATTGACTGAGCTGAGTCATACAGCACCAAGCTCACACTTCATGTGTGATAGAGGGGTACATTGGGCCATTATACAGCTCACGCCTCTGCCAAAGAGAGTCAGTCATTAAAACTTCCACTTATGCAACAGGAACAATTCTAGCAATGGACAACCCAGAATCATTTCTGCAACAGAGCTTCCAACATGTTATTTAACAATGCATTTCCTAACACCACTATGGAAGCACTTTCATCACCAATGGTTCAAGAAAAAGCACCAACATATAAGAACAGGGCAGTATTTTCTGTGTTGACTATTTCAGGTGAACAAATAAACGATAACTTGAACGTATCAAATAGGAGCAGGAACAGGCAAATCAGCCCTTCAGGCCTGTCCCATCATTCAAAAAGATCATGGCTATTCTGTTTTGAATTCTATATTCCCAAGTACACTCGAAAACCTTTGATTTCCCAGTTCAACATGAATTAATTGACTTCCACTTTGAGAATATTCACTGACCCTCCACCTCCACAGCCTTCTGGGGCAGAGAATTTCAAAGTTGCCCAATCCTTAGAACAAAAATTGTCCTTATCTTTCTCCTAAAAAGGATGGGGACCCCTCATTTTCAAACAGTGTCCCCCTAGTTCTCATTATCTCTCCCACAAGAGGGAACATCCTGTCTATTTCCACATTACCAAGACCATTCAGGAACAGAGTCACATCAATCTTCTAACCTCCCGTGAAAACAAGCCCAGTCTGATCACCATAAGGTAACCCACACATTCCAGATACCAATCTGCTACACTGCCTCAAATCGCCTTCAAACCATTTAGATTCTTCCTTATAAAGGATACCAATGCTGCACAGAGTATTGGAGGTGCAGTTTCTCCAATGTCCTGTATAATTGAAGCCTTATAACTTCTGTACTTAAAATGCATACAGCTCCTTTAAGTGAAAATTTCAATTTTCAAATGAAATCCACATTTCATTGATGACTTTTGGGAAACGGCCGCACAAGTGCAACAACAAAAAAAAATCATTGAATCCAGAAGGTCATAAAATTCTTAATGTAACCTTTTCTTTCCTTTGTGATTGCAGGCCAGAGACTTCAAAGATTGTCTAGTTTATAGAGAACGAAGTGGTGTAAAAATGCATCTCTCAGTGACAATATGCACAGGATTTTATATTGTTCGCTGAAAGAAATGATAATGCATTCTGGATCAGTTTATGCAACTTTTCTATTTTAGCCCAACATGAATAGCAATCGACAGCAAGGGCTACATAGAATACTTCTTCTGTACACACGGTGACAGATGCCATCATCAGACATGATAGCACAGGTTAATAAAGTGAGAATGAAAGCACACTTAGTTTGGCTTACGTGAAAGCAAGTTTGTCATCATTGGGTTTAATGCATCGTACGTAGTGAGGAGTTGTAGCATTAAGGGTCTCCATCAGCAGATGAAGGGAGTTACGAAACTGCAAGAAATTGATACATACAATATTAATGTGCAAAATTGGTGGATCAGTTTGACTTTATCCTCTCACCTGTGATTTGTCGGCCTTTATTTTTCCTCAAATGTATCCTGCCTTGACACCTTATTGCCGCCTCCATGGTTACCATTGCCTTCCACTATCTTGACCCACTGACTTCAAAATTACCCTTTGAGAATCTTGGTCAGAAATCTGTTTGAGCCCAGAGACTCTCCTTATTTTTGGGGAGGGGTATTGGTGGTGAGGAGTCAGAAAAACTCAAGAGTATTATGTATTGATCCCATCCGTCTGCCTCCCAGCATCCAGCTCTCCAGCAGTTCCTCCAGAAACCTGGGAAAAAGGCGACACACCAATCTCCTCAAGTCACAGAACGGGAGCCCAGAGAACAGAATCTACAATGTAGGTCATCGGAAAGGCAAAAAGGAACACAACCAGAAGAAAGGGAAGTCCGAAAATGAGAAAAGGAGCCATTCTTTTTCATTTAGCCTAAGGCAGGTAGCAAACAATACTTTACATAAAAAGAAGAAAAATATAAAAGTAAAAACAAGAGCAGATAATTCACAAATGTGCTGACTGTTTCACATGATCTATTAGCATTGAGCTGCCGTCCTCTATAAAGTAGTAACTGGAACCCGTTTTACAGAAATCGGATAGTTTACCCACGTATTACAGCTTTGTAATATCTAATGGATTGCAGGGTTGGATTTAAAATTCTCATCCTTATTCCCTAATCCCTTTGTGGCCTTGCACTTCCCAATTTCTGGAATCTCTCCAACCCCAGAACCCTCCGCAATATCCGCGCTCCTCAAAATGTCTTTTGTGCACTCCCAATTGTAATGCTTCCACCGCTGCTTCAGCTGCCTTAGCCCCAGGTTCTAGAATTACCGCCTTCTTACACCTCTCTATCTCTCTTACCTCCTGGAAAAAACTCCTCAAAACCTTTATGCAGTTTGATGTCACCCTTTCTTTTACAATGTTTCTGTGAAGGCATCTTGGAATCTTTCATTATGTTAGAGGTGCTATGTAAATGTAGATTGTCGGTGCTGTTGCTGTCCAAACAATGGGAATGCAACAAATGATGCTCGCTACAGTCTCTCGACCAAATAACAAAAACATTTTGCCTCAAAGCCCCAGTAAACTTTTTGCCTCATGTACACAGGGTCCCAAACTCTCCTTCACAGTAAGAGCCCTGAGCCCTGTTTGAAATCCTGAGGTAATGCCAATTTAAATAATTTGAGCAGAAGCCAGCACTTTTTTTGAGTGTGAGCGAGAGAGACAGAGAGCGAGAGATAGACAGAAGAGGAAGTGTAGAGAGAGAATGAGAGCGTGAGTGTAGAGAGGGACTGTGTAAGTGAGTGAGAGAGAGATTGTGGAGAGTGTGTGTGAGAGATAGAGACAGAAAGAGTGAGAGCGAGACCACGTGTGAATGTGTGTGAGAGGGAGTGCGAGTGAGTGAAAGTTTGTGCATGACACAACATTAAGAGGGAGAACAAGTGGTCATGTTGACACAAAAGAGCCTGCAGAGGGATATAGACAGTTGAGTGGGCAGAAATTTGGCAGCTGGAATATAATATGGAAAAATGTGAGGTCATGCACTTTGGCTGGAAGAATAGAGGAATTGAGTATTATTGAACTGGAGAAAAACTGTGGAAAGTTGCACCATAGAGGGATTTTGGAGTGCTTTTCCATGAAATTCAAAAAGCGAGCATATAAATTCAGCAGATAATAAAAAAGGCAAATGAAACTTTAGCATATATTTCAAAGAGAATGATGCATAAAACTATGGAGGTCTTGCTGAAACTATACAAGGCAAGAGTCAGACCATAGCTGGAATATTGCAAATGGTTTCGGTCCCCTTCTCCTCAGACAGATACAGTGGCCTTGGAGACAATCCAGAGAAGGTTCACTATACTGACAGCAGTTATGGAGGGATTTTATTAAGAGCTGAGTCTGAGTAAGTTGGGCTGGTGCTCATTGCAATTTAGGAGAATGAGAGCAGACCTTATTGAAACAGATAAGGTTCTTAGGGGGCTTGAAGGGTAGGTGCTGAGAGGTTGCTCCCCCTTGTAGAAGATCCTAGGACTAGAAGGCATAATGTCAAAGTAAGGAGTCACCTATTTAAGACAGAGGAGGAATTTCTGCTCTCAGAGAGTACTGCATCTCTGGAATTCTTTACCGTACAGGGCTATCAAGGCTGAGCTGACAAGGATATTCATGGCCAAGATGGACAAATTTTTCTCCAGCCAGGGAACCAAGAGGAATGGGTAAAGGCAGGATAGTGGAGTTAAGGATTATCAGAACTCATTGAATGGTGCAGCAGACTCAATGGGCTGAATGGTCTGTATTTGCTCCTGTGCCTTATGTTCTTAGGACTTAAACATAAATAATAGATTTTATTTTAGGAAAAAAAAAGAGATTTGCACTCTACTCAAAGTACTAATAACCTCAGCAATTAATATATGCGTCATCAATTGGCCATACAACGGTTTTCAGTCTTGACATAATCCAAGCTGATATTTATTTTAAAACAATGCGTATTTACATAGTGCTTTAGATGCTGAATATCTACCAGGTGTCTCTCAGTGCTTTACACGGAAGGAAGTACTTTTTGAAGTGTGATCATTGCTTTAAAACAGAAAGCACTGCAACCAATCTGTGTACAGCAAGCTTCCACTAACAACAATTTGCTAATCTGTTACATCATGAGGTTGATTAATGGATACATTTGGCTAGGACCCCAGGGAGAACAGCCCTGCTCTTGTTCGAAATAATGCCTCACAATCTTCTTCATCCACGCGGTCAGGGAGACGTGGTGATTAATGTCCCATGTGAAAGACAAATCTCTGACATTGCAGCACTCCATTAGGACTGCACTAGAGGGACAGCCCTCAAGTGGGACTTGAACCCAGAACCTTAAGAGTCAGGGGTGAGCATGCTACCAACTGAGCCATGGCAGGCACCCTGTTGCTAAAGATGGGCTATTTGTTTGATACAAACGAGTGGTTTGTAACATCCCTTTAGAGTTAACCCAATCCAGAATTAGCCATCTTGGTGAAGGACTGAAGTGATGTAAACAAACAAGAACCATCCCTTCTAGCGGCACGGTGGATCAGTGGTTAGTACTGCTGCCTCAGAGCGCCAGGGACCCGGGTTCTATTCCACCCTCAGGCAACTGTCTGTGTGGAGTTTGCAAATTCTCCCCATGTCTGTGTGGGTTTCCTCTGGGTGCTCCGGTTTCCTCCCACAGTCCTAAGATGCGCAGGCTAGGTGGATTGGCCGTGCTAAATTGCCCATAGCATTCAGGGATGTGTAGCATAGGTGGGTTATAGGGGGATGGGTCTGCGTAGGATGGTCTGAGGGTTAGCGTCAACTTGTTGGACTGAAGGGCCTGTTTCCACACTGTAAGGATTGTATGATCTTCTGTAAAGGGCAGTAATGGACCAGTCACAGTAAACTAGCAACTCAATACCCAGCTTCTAACTTCCTAATCTTTTTCAATCTGAATCTAAATTCTCCAACTGAAAGATTTCTTTTGGTTTACTAGTGAAGGTCCTCTGAGCCAGTAATTGCTACACTAGATTAAGTGCAGCAGCAATATAGGCATGCAAATGTTCTACACCTTGGAGCTCCTCTTTCAGAAGCCACCTCAAGCCAAGCCCCAGTCTTACCTGGTGTCCCACTGATTTCTTGTGCTCTTTGCTGGCCTGCAGTGATCGAGGCTTAGCAGATTTCACAGTTGCCCTGGTAACAGGGGGACGTCCTTCAGTAGGGCTGGTAGCTGGCTTCTCATCTTGGAAGAGCTCCGCAAGCAAACTCAACTGGTTTGGTGCGAATCACAAGAACAAGCAGAGAAAACATTCACATTAGCAAGTCTTTAACCCCTTGTTCCAAAAGCTCACACCAAAGAAACCAGACACCGGGTTTGCTGTTGCCACAGATCCACAGTCAATATTTTAATGGGGCAGCAATTCTATAATTGGCTCTTAGAAAAGACAAAGATTCAATTTGTGCACTGATCCAATTGACAACTCAATGATACGAAACGGAACAACATAAAAATTACAGCACATAAACCCAAATTAGCTCAATTGTTCCATTTTCACATGATCGTCCTCCCAGCTCGCCTGATCAACATACCCGTCCATTCCTTTCTCTCTTATGTACTTACCTAGATTCCCACGAGGTTAGTCACCTGCAATGCTCTGTATGGCAGAAAGTCCCAAATTCTTACTATTTAACACATCGAGAAGTTGCTTCTGAATTGTTTGTTAGATTTATTCAGTGATTATTTCCCATCCAGAGGTTTAGATCTGCTTTTCTGGCTTTCCTGCAAACTACAGTTTCTTGGAACAATGGAAAGAGATGGCCCAAGCACTGAGTTGAACTGGATCAGACCGGAGCTGACCGGTACAGGCTGATCTATTGTCAAATCCTCCTGAAGGAGTCGGGCCATGCAGTCACACCTTATCTTCCTCCACAGGAAAGGTCCTGAATATTTGACTTTTCCCAACGTAAATGAAGGCTTTGTTTCATCATCGTGGGGCCCACTACACGTCGAGCTGTAACTAAACAAATTCCCTTTTCTGGAGGGCCGGGACATCTCGGCAGAATCCGGTGTCTCGTGCTTGCTCATCATGAGAGGCAATGTCAAGGGTGAAGACAGATGTGTGCCACCCTCTAAAAATGTTCCAGGAAAGTGATCAAACCCAACGACTTACCCAACATTTACAATGGAATGGAGACATGCATGACAGACAGTGAGGTTGGGAAAAAAAGGCCTTCAACGCAAAAATCAAATCCAGTTCTATGTAAATTTGTGCTAAAATACTTAATTTGCCCTGAGTTTTCCCCAATCCATGAACTCTGAATGTGTTTTATTTCACATAGGTCACCAGTTCAACTGATTTACAAAGAACACGATTAAGTGTTGATCAGGTTATATGCTCCAATTTTGACCTGAAGTTCTCAATAATTCACCTCAAGACACTAAATTACTAAGGACAGCTGCAATACTTAATGTTCATTTTTTTTAAACCAGAAAGCAGAGAAGGGGCTCTTATGGTGCAGTGGTAAGTGTCCCTACCTCTGGATCGGGAGGCCCAGGTTCAAGTCCTACCTGCTCCAGCTTTGTGTGAGAATATCTCTGAATCAGGTTGATTTGAAAATATCCACCAGCAAGCACAGGCAGAGAACAGAGCTGAAGGTTTCTAATGAAGGGACAAGCTCCATATATACACTGTCCTCTCACATTGCCTCAAAAGATTGCACACCAGTTGCAACAAAGGAAATGGCATCTTCATTTTTCTACATGACACCGGAATGGTACAAGATCAACTCACTATTTTGAGAGAAGTCCCCTTTCCAATCTCCCTGTAATTTACCACTAAACACACCTAGAATACCAACACTGATTTATCATACAGCGTACAGCCTCAGAATGCAGTCAGTTATTACTATGTAACTGAAAGTAATCATTACACTGCTGTGTTGATGGTCTGAATGCATCAAACATGGAACGTTTGAACTCTATGTGCCCTCTAAATTACAACTCCTCTCTATTGAAAGCACTGCCTCATGCTGGAGAACAGATTCGTCGTCGTTTCTTCAGTGGTTTTTCTTCACGTCCTTGTTTCTGGACAGGGGCCAGATGAATGATGTCACCACCAAGTCTCATTTTGCCTGCATCCGCCACACTTGCACTCTTTGGCAATCATCGTTTTCTATCTTAGAGAGTCCCTCAGGATCAAGCACTCATTTGTCCACTCTGCTTCGATTGGTTCGGAGCTGGCGATGAGTCCAATGCTCAGTCTGCCATGCGTGGGGATGGTGGTACTTGGAGGATTGGGAAGACAGGTTGTTTGGCAAATTGTGCGCTCCCTCCAACAACTCACCATTGCCCCTACACGTCCCCGATCTCAATGTGCTCACTGCCTAATGGAATGAGCCTTCTTCATCATGGTTTGTCACAAGCCAGACTCTCCTAGAGGCAACGGCAGTGTTTGATCTCTAGGGGATGTTCTGAGGATAATCCCATAGCAATCCTGCTGTTCCTCCAGGGGGACTGCTGTTGCTGCATCCAAGCTGTGACAATAGCAGCTGATTGGCAGTAATTCTGGTGTCAGGAATGTCATCGACACACGCTGACAGCAGAGCTGGTTTTCAGTGATTAGCATCTCGACACTGGCCAAGTGGCTAAGACTAGTTGTGGCTTCTACTATGTACCCACACATCTTCACATCACCCCAACTGTAGGTGACACTCATGCAGGACGAGCTTTAATGGCAGGATCAGCGCGTGATCTTCTGCTTCGGAAAGACTTCGTAAGGAATCACAAACAAGGGAGACACTGTCTCAGGCAAAGAGGTCAGTCATATAGTGCTGTATGGAGAAGAAACGTCTCCACTCAGGGAACTGGGTACTTCTAGAATTATTAACAACAGAGGGTTGTGGATGCTGCATTAGTGAGTAAATTCAAGGCAGAGATCAAGACATTCAAGGAATCAAAGGCAATGGAAAGCTGGTGAGAAGATGAGTGGGTCATCCATGATTATATTGAATGGTGGAGCAGGCTTGAAGAGATAAATGTTCTAGATGTCCTTTTATCTCAAATGTTTTTGTTTCATTCAGGGTAGTGAAAGTACTGACTAGAGCTAGAGGGCAGCCAAAATAAGCATGCACATTTAAAAATCGACAGTATTTATAGATAAGACGGATATAGTGAGGGTGACAAGGGCACTAATGTCTCTATTCAATATCCCCATGCAGCAGACAGATCAAGCAACATCCTTCTTGTTTTTTTTAGAATGGTGTAGCCCTGGGGCTTTCCAGCTCATGCAATAGCCAGAAATACAAACTGGAAATTTTTAAAACTTTTACCTTCTGAGGAGTCAACGTCCGCGAGAATCAAACAGGGTAAAAGAAACATAACAATCAGCATTGAATCAGAAAGTGTAGTCAAATAAAAACAGCGCAGTGCCCAGTGTTTGGAGTTTCTCTCTCTCTGTCTTCACCTGCTCGCTCCCTCTTTCACTGTAATAATGTTCCACCAATAGCTATTGCCCCTTAACATCAATTCTACATAGCCAATGATAATGCAGGATTTCTTGATGTCAAAGGCTTCAGGATGGGTGAGGTGACAGAAGTGGCATTGGCAAGGTGGGCAGCAGAAAACTGCACTGGGAGGCTTCTCATAGGAGGGCAGAGATATTTATCAGGTGTCAACACCATGGAGACAGCCAGCTGACTTATATACTCAGAACCCAACAGGGGATGGCCCTGTCTCTATCCCTCTCAGCCCCTCCTTCTTTTCTCTCTCACATCCACCATACACACCCACACCTGCATGCACCCATGTGGAGAGGCCATCAGCTCACTGGAGGAATCCTCATTAATGTTGGTTGAGTTGGGCAGCAGAACCTCCCATCAGATTAACTCTAACTCTCAGGGCCTCATTATGGACAAGGCCACATACTTTCACCACCATGTCCACATAGTCACTTCCACCAGGGGGTGCTAGATACCCATCAAGAACAGGAACCCAGGCCAATCTTTCCACCCCTTAACCAGGCACATTTTAGAATTGATCCCAAACAGAGATGCATTAACTCAGCACAGGTATGGCATCAGGCTTGCAACCACTCTGCTGTGTGTAACCTATCTACATGGACCATTTTTTTGGGTGGGCGGGGAGAAGAAGAATTATCAAGTCCACTTTGTTGCTTAGAGGCCCAATTACCCATTAAAAATGTACAGATGTTCCTTAAGCTCCCAATTAGACCATGACATGCTGACGTCCCTGTCAATCAATCTAACGATAATTTAGTGACAACTTTATGTTTTATCAACCACTGATCCTAAACACCCAGTCAAGTCTCATTCCCCCAGTTTGGATCAAGGGATGTCCACGTTTGTTTCTAAAAACCCAGAATTGTCAGAATTTTAAAAATTGCAAAGAAAGCGCTGTTTTTTTTAAACTAGCATTAACGTTGCTTTGCATCAGTACCAAGGTTTCAAGTTACAATCCGCATGCAGAGAATTCCAAATAAATGTTACATTATTTTGTAGTTATCTCGTGGAGAACTGTTGACAGATAACCAGGTGAGATGCAACTTTATAACAGGACTGCTGCATTCTGTAATACACAATATTTTTCAGCAACAAGAATCCTAGTTCGTTACAGCTCAAGATTTCCACAGGTAGCTCAGAGCACAGTAACACTCACCTTGCTTGCCTTCAGCACTGTGATCTGTTCCTCATACACTGTATCCTTGTTCTTTTCCAAGAAACCCTCACACTGGTACTCAACCTGTTAAAGACCACCAGGAACAACACTAGATTTAGGTCAATGAGTAATCTCCACAACTTCCTGAAAAAGAAGGTCACAGTCAAAATTGATTCAAAGCCAAATGCAGGAACGTGGAGACGTGTGCTTGACACAGCAATGCAATCAAGGTCAGAGAACTGCAGAGTAGTAGATCTGCTTTTAAGAAGCTAAAATATGGTTAAGTGTCATTGGAATGGTAAACATCAGAAGACCAAACATTTAAAATTCAAACAAAACAATTTTTAGGAGGATTGCAAGTTCTGTATTCCTATCCAAGCATATTACAAGTTTCAAACATTAGAGAGGTTGATCAATAAGACTGAAATTTTCTTTAAAAGAATCCAGATAAAAGGACTGCATCTCTGCTATAAAGCTTGAAGCAGCTCGATCTGAACCAGATTAATCTGCTTTCATACAGTATACAGTAACCAAACACACAGGATTCTTTCAGAAAAGAATTTCAGCTACCCTGAGAAACAAAGTATTTGATACCATTTATAGAAACAGACAATGGAAACAATCCCAAATAAAAACCAAAAGATCTGCGGATGCTGTAAATCAGGAACAAAAACAAAGTCGCTGGAAAAGCTCAGCAGGTCTGGCAGCATCTGTGAAGGAGAAAACAGAGTTAACGTTTTGGGTCCAGTGACCCTTCCTCAGAACCCTTCCTGTTGTGAGGAAGGGTCACCGGACCCGAAACGTCAACTCTGTTTTCTCCTTCACAGATGTTGCCAGACCCAATGGAAACAATCCCCTTGTTCTTAGCAATAAGTTTCTCCCTCAGTATACAAGGTAAAGTCACCACAGATTCACTCTCTCAGTACAGAGAGATGACTGGTGGTGGTTTAAACCTTAGGGTCACCATGCCTTAGGTGAAGGGACAGGTAGGGAAGAAGAGTCCTTCAAGGTAACCTCAGCTGGTGCAGGAATCGAACACATACTATTGGCATCACAAACCAGCCATCCAGCCAACTGAGCTAACGGACTCCCTCCGTTAGCATAGAGCAACAGAGACACAAGTGACCCTACTGAAGGGCAGCCTAAAGTGTCCTGGTGGAATCGGAATGGGTTTTTAGGTTGGTAATACAGATCTTAGAACAACGCTATTGAACAACGCTATCTTTCTTTTACCAACTTTATTCCTCTCCAGGAGGTACGGAATTCAAAAAGTTGCTCTTCAGTACCTGACTGCAGGGGTCATTATTTAGGAAGGTTTTATCTGACTTTGATGGATACAACATGGACAAACAAGTGCAAACCCACTTCCAGTTACAGACATTGGATAGTAAACAAGGGAAGCACTGTCCTTGACTCAGGTCCACACAAACAGAGCTTAGGAATGATTTTGAAGGGCAGAAGATTAAAAAAATAAAAGCTGTCTGAGCAACCAACTGTGCAGCCAGCAAAAGGACTGGGATCTTTATGCATTCACTGCTGAATTTCAGTGAAACAATACGTGAACCCTGTACATGCAACAAGAGATAGTTTACCATTGTTCTCACCAGCTGGTCACCAAATCATTCATTTATACCTCCCAACATGGAACAGATTAAGAAATCCAAGAGATTAACTGTAAAGCCCTTTTACCTTGTCAGCAAAGTGCTGGACGATGAAAGCCTTGTTTGACAAGCGTGGTTTATGAAACAGCGCACTCTTGTTTAAGTGAGTGTTGTAAAGCTTCTGAGCCCATGTGTCATCAGATCCTTTGGGCATCTTAATGTGAAAGAAAGAACAATGCCAGAGAAGAAGAAGAATCAGTGTGTGCTTTTGTAAAATTAGAAATTAGCTCAAGTGACAAGTACTCTAACGTCTACGGGCGAATATTATGCAAAAAGCAAAAGCAAGGTACTGTGGACGCTGCAGAGCTGAAATCAAAACAAAGTGGAGAAACTCAGCAGGTCTGGCAGCAGTCATTGAGAGAGAAATAGAGTTAATATTTCAAATTCAATGTGACTCATCCTCAGAACTAAAGGCAAGGTGAAGATATTAATGGGCTCGATGCTGTAGAAAAAGGTGGGGAAGGAGTGAGTGGAAAGAAAAGGAGGTCAAAGAAAGGTTAGAGGGTGAGCAAATTAAAGAACAAAGGTGTCACAGAACAAAAGGCAAAGGGAGTGGTAATGGTTGTAGAAAAGAGACAGTGCAGAGATCCGGAGGTGGTGCCAATAGCAGAACATTATAGATGGATTTCTATAGCAGCTCCTGGCTTCAGAGGTCAATTCTGTGCTGTGAATTTGAAGTCACTTGATTTTCTTCTCTAAGGGACACAGAGAAAAGGCTGGATTTTTTGCTTTTGTAAAAACAATCTGCAGGTTTTTGTGATTAATTTACCTGGTACCAGCCCACGCATTACCAGATTCAGCAAACTCAAATTCACAACTTGCTATGGCCAAATTTGAACTCTGCCTGCACGTACCACAACCACTTGGCTACCACATCAGTTTGTAATTTATTCCAAATAACAGCCAACTATCTAACAGCAGTGGAAATCTTTCTTGGCTGAACAAGCCGGTCAAAAATTAGCTGGACTAGGTGCCAGGCTTCTGTTGTCTGGAAATACAGCAACTGTCATATCTGCCTTGAATCCAAGGAATGAGCTCAGTTACTGTGATGTGAGAACACTAAGGCAAGAGATCCATCACTGAATCCAGGGCCAACCCATGTATAACTGTCAAGACTTACCTTGCACTCTTCATCCAATAGATCCAGGATGCCAAGTTTAGCTTCAATTAGGTTGATGCAAGGTTGATTGTCATAAAAATCTATTAGTGTCCATGGAATCTGCTCCTTCATATACTCCTCCTGCTCTAGTTTGAAAACATGCTAGATAGCAAAGAGAAAGTCTCTGTTAAGCATCTCTGGTCTCCAAACTGCTGAATGTATTAAATTGGGCTAAAACCAACCATCCATTTACACATTCTGTAAGGGACAGTACATATCAATGACAGGAGAAAGGGCCTACTTTCTACATTGCTACACATAGTGACTGCACTCAACGTTGTTGGGTAGTTATGGGGAACTGCACTGATCATCAAACCCCACATCCTTGGGAAAGCGCATTTGCCTCTCTGTAGAAAGCATTTGAATTCACTGGATATTGAAGGCAAGGCTCTCCAGCTGTCAGCACTTATACAGAGATAACAAAGTGTAGAGCTGGATGAACACAGGAGGCCATGCAGCATCAGAGGAGCAGGAAAGCTGACGTTTCGGGCCTAGGCCTGAAACGTCAGCTTTTCT